GTTGCGATATTGGTCGACGAACGACGATAGTGGTGGTGTGTAAGCTGTTTCACGGAGGCGGCAATAATTCGCCGATTTTTCCCAGACTTCCGGCGGTTTTCTAGCGGGGTCAACGACCCCTCTCCACCCCCCTCTTTACCGACTCCACGGAAATCACCGTTTGTACGGTCCTCAACGAACGGGACAGTCCGATAATAATTCCGATAGGTCGGCCTCGTAGCAGAGTTGAGGGCGTAATGAATTATTTTTATTGCAATTACATTGTAGTTTTAATGAACAAGTCATTCCAAATGAAAATGTACAATTACAAAGTATATTAACATTATAGTAGTACAGTAATATAATAATATAATAGAATAGTAATTGCAATTACATATAATTACAATTACGGTGTAATTATACTGTAATTTTAAGTGTAATTGTAAGTATGCAAGACGATTATAAAAACATGTTTGCGATGGCCATCCCTCTGAGTAGCGTTGTGAAGGTTTTAGTCGGTGGTTGTCGTTTATTAAAAAGTTATTTTAACAGAAGGTTCACTCAAAAGTATATAATTTACCAGTTATGATTTATAGCTAGCAGAGTATACTTGTAGAGTAAATTTTATGTTCCCGTGGAATGGTGAAAAATAGTAAAGAAGCTCGTTATATTGCTGTTTTACTTGTAGGCGCCGCCATTTTGGTTTTTCTCGACCGTCTATAATCTATTTCGGTGAGGATGGTTGTAAGAAGTAGCGCTTTGTTTCTTCTGAGTATCGTTTTGCATATAAAATTGTTTATATCCAGTCCACGAGTAATATATTCAGACTAATTAGTGTTCTATCGGTAGGAACAACAAAGATACTCAAGGATTCCAGCATCAAAGGACTCTGGTCACAAAGGATTCTTAACAAAAACGGTCAACGGTATCGATTAACAACCGAGCTCCAGTTACCCATAATGATTTCCATAAACGTCCCGAGACCAGCTCCTAAATATCATACGTTCGATCGAAAAACGAACAGAATCGCCCTGCGAACTGTTTCGCGACAATTAATAGTGCCATTCATTCAAAGAACGCCGAACGGTCATAAAAAAAACTCTCTGGACGAGGTAATCCCATTTAACGACAAAACTTAATATACTCATTAGTGCACTTACACGAACATCGCGACTTATGTGTCAGTATCTGCAAGAATACCGACATAATCGCACGTAGCTTATAATTCCTTCAATAATAACATATAAAAAAAGAAAAAGTAAAGGCCCGTTTACACGTTCAAATAATTCGCGCAAACACACTTATGCATTCACATTTACGCAAATGATTCGAATCGTTGTACTCGATTTGTGAACGGGCCTTAATAAAAGAAAGCATTCCTCTCCGACAATACGTTCGTCCAATTACTGCAGTGTACAATTTTATCGGTCGCATCGATTCCGGTTTCATGGTCGAGAATCAAAACGACCACCGGATAATGAGGGAATCGCACGCGTGATTCGCAGTGCATGCGCGGTGCTAGCTGTTCTTTCCAACGATCGTTTGTCACACACGGGGACGCCCGCGCATCGGGATGAACCGATCCAACCTAAATGCAAGTAAATAATCGATACTATCGTTTCGATACAGAGTATTTTTAGTATCGATACAGATCTACTCGGTATCGAAAAAAAGGATTCATATCGAATGGACCGAGTAATCGATTATGAAAGCTAACGACGTATTAAGTAGATATCGATACTTTCTAATACGGTACTAAGCAGGTATCGATACTTATCGATACGGTACTAAGTAGATATCGATACTTTTTGGTACGATACTAAGTAGATATCGATACTTTTTAATACAGTACTAAGTAGGTATCTGTACTTATTGATACGGTACTAAGTAGATATCGATACTTTTTGGTACGATACTAAGTAGATATCGATACTTATTGATACGGTATTAACTAGATATCAATACTTTTTGGTACGATACTAAGTAGATATCGATACTTTTTAATACAGTACTAAGTAGATATCGACACATTTTTCTCAATACTTACAATTTATAAGTTAAAGAATCGATACCTCGACGGTATCGGTTTATCCCTACACACAGGGGCGCCCACGTCCCCCCTCCCCACCTCGTGAACGGAACTGAGCGTGGAACGAGCCAACGCGCGAAAAAGGAAGCGTGCTTTACCCACGAGCTTCGACGCGTATTAAGAGATTGCGCACCGATATATGTATACATACACGTACAACAACCTCTATCCCCACGCTCTTCTAATCCTATCCGAGTCATTCGGTTCCGAGTTCCTTGACCCTGCCCCGGGACGCCGTGCACTTGACGGTGGAAGGTGATCCGGATTCTTGGACGTTTTTTCAAACGAGGTTCCCCGCGCTGCGTCGTCGCCTTGGGCCGAGCCTCCCTTCCCCCTTCTCCCTCCCGATGCCCCTTTGAGAAAATTAACTTTCAACGAACACACACCGCCGTGCCACGCTGGGATTGTTCTTTGGGAACGAGTTCGGATGCGGTTCAGTGGACAATGACTTCGTTTCGGGACGGAATAGGAATCTTTATTTGGACGTGAATGCGAGCTTGGGTTATTTATTTTGTTGGCTACATATTATTAATCCTTTCAGTCATACATTATTGAAAAAATTACCAAAGAAATATTTTATATATTCGATACATGTAAATATCAATATTGTGCATGGACATTTTAGGCAATGATATATCGGTGTATCGGTATTTTTACTTTTTTTTTTGGATACCAAGGTGACCTTGAGTTTTTACAATGTATGTTTTTGTTCAGTTGTCATACCTGGGGGTAACTCGGTAGTTTTTATTGGCTGTCTAGTTATAACGTATAATTCAATGCATATTAATTTTCATATTTTTTGAAGATTATTGTACTGATATAATTATTAATTGAAAAATAGAAAAAATTATTTCATTCGTAGAATAGATAGAGTTAGGGTTTCAGAAATTATTACGTTGGTTAATGACCTTTTAAAAGACGAAATGATATCGTTAATTTCAGTTATGAGAGATGTCGAAGACATATCATTCTTCCTTCAGCCATAGATTATTGATTTATCCACAGCGATTTGAAAGTCTAGGCAATGCTTTCAAAAAATAATTTACACGTACGCTATTTTCGTGGCTACAGTGTCGCAACGGATACGAAGGTACAAAAAGATACTGATTGTAGACCCTCGAGTGACCTTGTACGATGTTAAAAGGGAATGGACCATTTACATCATCACGATCATAAGATTGGAAAACGATTTTAATTTTATATAACGGTGATCTATGAGATCACCTTGAAAAATGCTTCACTTGTAGAACCTTGAAAATCTTCATTTCCATTACTTCTGATTGTAAATTATTCTAATCTCAAAAAACACTAAAAGACCAGTAATTTGGATTACTTCTAAAAATGACAGAAATTATTCTCTTATAGAGGAATTGATGTATTATCGTGTTTAAGATCACTCTGAAAGATACTGCTCTTAAAACTGAACAAAATCGTCTATTATAAATTCTATTCCCATTATTGTAGTAGTAAAACCAACGAAAAAGTAATCAGCCGACATGAAAACGTGCTAACGTTGCAAATACTGCTACTGTAATAATTTCTATTAATTTCTCGATTTCAATGTGTGGTACGAAACACATTTTTAATTGTTCTGGCAAACAATTTTCCAGTCCCACCCACCAATTTCACGGAGATGTAAAAACGATTAACACCGGTCTCTGTTAGTTATCTGCTGCAATTAGGAACGCAGATCCAATATTAAATCATCGAGCACGGCGATATACGGCCGCGAGGATTCGTAATAATTTCTTGTATCGCAGTATCGACAGTCGATTAACTGGATAATAGCTAGTCGCCGAAGTGGCTGGTGATTGAAATTCTCATTAAAACGGAGCACGACATTGAGAAGGTTGGCCACGTCGTATCCTGCCCGCGTCGATATGTTCGCCAGCGATGGAATCAAGCGTATCGTGAGATTTAATTGATTTTACAAACTTAAAACTAAGTATCACTAATCTGTGTGCTCTCGACAGAAAGTATGAATGAACAACCGGTTCGGTGATTGAATATTAATAGTACCTATCCTGCCGTAAAATTGAATTGAGAGTAAACCGATGAATGAACACAGATTTTTTATTAAAGTCGAAAGCGTTAATTAATAATGTAATTAGTATGAATACAAAACAAGGAATGGAATAAATTAAGATTTAATCATATATTTATTTCAATAACTTAAATCGCTAGTTTTTATATATAATGTTCATTCCACTAGTACGTGTTCATTTACTGATGCATCAGCCAGATATGGATTGTAAAAGAAAATTCTGAGGGAAAATAAATTTACAGTAAATTCATAAAATTAATTTATAATTGACTGAAGATTACATACGTAATTGATTCAGAAAGAATAACAATATTTATCTTCGACTTAACTTAAACGATCCACAGTGAGTCAAGGAAAAAATTCTTTAATCGGAATCGTCATTAAATAAACTTCAAGAATACTTCTGTGACTCGACAGTGGAATTCGTGATAGTCATAACAGGGCAAAGGATCGAAAAACAACGTGTTTCGCACACACAAAATCATTTTATTATCAAGTGGAACATGAAGAATAATTTAACACACAATATCGATCAGAAGCGCTTCCGGATGCTGAAAATGAAAGGGGGCGATGAAGAAGGAAAATGAACGTTCCCGAAGAGGGGGCGAGCTATCGATCGTACAAATCGATCGTTCGATCGAAACGTCCGTCGAAACTCTCACCGACCATTCGCAAAATGCAGGCGACCAATCCTGAAGAGACCAATCCTGGAAACGCATCGTTTCACTCCCGACGATCGAAAGAAAAACGCTGTATTTCATTCGGATCTGTTCAACGAATGGTCGCAGACTCTAACTTTACACCGTATCTCGTCTATCGTCTCGTTTCCCCAAAGAACATATCCGTGTCGTGTCATCGAATACCCAATGAACCAATGAAACTCCGTTCTTAATGATAATAAACCGGCAGATTGACCACAGGATGAAGCTGGGCGACAGTGGATCCTCTGAGCAGCAGCGTTGGTTCCACCTTCACCTTCGAATCCCCATGGATTTGGCTGACCCCATGGCTGCTGATCGACGTGGTGACAGTGGCAGTGGCGAGTTTAGGAATCGCCTCTTTGACGATTGGTACCACTGGAACAGCCTCCTTGGCGATCACAGGCGTTTCCTTTTGGATGACAGGCACTGCCTGTTTGGCGATCAAACTGGGTATGGCCAGGGGTTGTTGTATAACCTGCGACGAAGGATGGACCTGGCTGATACCATGGCTGGAGATGGAAGTGGTCACAGAAGCAGTGGCCGGAACAATAGCCTCCTTGGACAGAACAGACGCGACTGGGACCGCGACAGACGGTTGAACAAGAGTCAACGGTTCGTTATCGATTTTCACCGCGTCCTTCAGCTCAGCACCCTCGATGCCCAGTTGCTTGTGAAGCTCGATACGGTTCTCGTGATAGGATGGCAAAGGTGTCAGCAACGGGATGCTCTGCAATAATGTCGGGGCCTGGATGATCGAAGACAACGGTAGAACATCGATTGGTTTGTCCTTGGTCGCCACCTCGCCACCTGACGGTTTCTCGTATCCGTAAATCTGATACTGATTACTCGATGACAGAGAGATCGGGCTGGGCGGGATCTCGTAGAATTGCGCCGGTTCGATCTGAAGCAACTGTTTCTGGAGAATCTGGCCTGGTTCCACCTGGAGATTACGATGGATCTGAACTTGGCTCTGATGGGACGTGGACAACGGTAGCTCCTGGATCAGTGTCGCTTCCGGCGTCAGAAGTGTCCTCACGTTTGCTCCCTCGACTTTGATCTCCGATTGTTTCACGTCCTGAACGTCCAAGCTACGTTTCCTGCGACTCGATTTCTCCTGTTCCTCGGGCTTCACGCTTCTAGCAAGAAGCACGTGAGTTGTGTCGAGGTTCGTCTCGGTCGGCAAATCGGTCGCCGCGACCCGGAAACCATTCTCGTCCGCGACGTAGAAGACCGATTGGAGGATACCGTTCGCGTCTATGTAGCTGTACGAGCCCCGTGTCACGCCGTCGGCGTCTTTGATCTCCTCCTTGGCCGACGGACCGCCGGCGTAACTGTACGCGTGCTCCCCTGTCCTCGTGTTCTGGTACTGATTGTACACCGGAAACGGACTCGCCAGATACGCGTACGGCAGCAGCCTCAGCTGCGCGCCCGAGACCAGGCTCAAAGCGACGAATAACGGAATCTGTGAAAAGGAAGGATTGAATTCGTCGTTAGTCACGCATTCAACAATTCTTGTCTACATCTTGCCCTTCCTTTCGCTATAGAATTGTAAAATTATCCGCAGAGGATTACATGGGGAATGTTTAATGTAACCGGTGATTTAACCATTTGCGTTTCCTGCATTTTTGGCGCCCTCTGGGTAGTCTACTTTCAGGGGTTTTTAGGTGATTTCCATGGAACGTGATTGGGTAGAATATGAGGAAGTAGAAAATTTAAATAAACATTGAATCGTTCGATGCATCTTTTTGGTATATTGAACGAAAATTGTTTTTCGTAAAATCAAACGTCAATAGTCATTTTACGAGTATATAAAACATTAAACAAAATTTTTTCCATAAACAATATGTGCACTCGCGATACAATGGCAAACTAGTAGTCACAGTAACGCCGTTTCATTCAAAGAAATTTGATATTGATGATATTGTCGCTAAAGTGATAAAAGTAAGCGTCTCCTATAGTGGACAAATGTAGTTAACGGGTCGAAACGACGTGTCAGCTGTCAGGATATCTATAAATTTTATTAGCTACCAGCAGTGTTTTGTATTGGAAGACGAAGGAAAAGCTACTGCAGAAATCCAAGGTTACTTTTTACCGAACCTAATAGATGGTCCTTTAGATTCCTCGACTGAGTCCAGAGGGGATCGCTAACGTCGGTTACGAAGCAAATCGACGGGGAAGATTCCGTTCCCAGAACGATCATCGACGGAACGACGTGAAAGGCACGCTCGTGACTTTAAAATCACCTCAGGAGTTCAACTCCATAGCCGACGAATCGCTCGAATTTTACGCCCGCTGTCGATAGCACCCCGAGTATTCCCGTCTCTTATACTTGCATGAGCCCCGAGATCCAACGCTCTTTACGATCCAATAAGAGACGAGCGAGTAAGTACAGCTCTCTGGCGAACGGAAACAGACACGAAACGGGAATGGGTGGGGGGGGGCGGAGACCGTGAAAACGGAGACTTTGTTTCTACCGCCATTGATTTCGGCGGTGTTCATTTGAATTTTAACCGAGCCACGAATCGAATGCGCTCTATTCGAATCCTATTACCACTAGGAACGATGATTTTTCGAAATATCTCAGATACCCTTTTTTCCCCTCTATTCGATAGACAGGATTCAGTTGTTCGAGAAGAACGATTTGATTGTCCACTTCCAGAGAAATTCGCAACTTTCTCGAAACTTTCTTCGACACATCATTTAGTAAACTAATCTTTCAAACTTCACAAATAAAAAAACTAAAATCGCTTGGTCAAATTTTAAAAGAAGTTGTTTTATTACATCAAGTTTATGATATTATATAGATACTGGAAGTTTCGATTTCTATTTTACAGATATAGTTTGCTCACGAGGTACAAAATGAAGTAGATTACTAGAGGATTGCGATCTAATGGAAACGTGAACGTATTCGATACATACAAGTCGCATCCGGTGACTTCGACGCGCGGATAAGGAAACATCACCAAGCGTTACTCCATGGAACGATCAAAGGTTTGCATATTGTTATAATCTACAAATTTTTCTAATCCTAAAATTCTTCACCAACCTAATATAGATTTTGAGTACAAGCGAAAATTTAATCTTTGACACTCATCGAATCAAAGCACTACTAAATTGCTAAAAGTCCGAAACAAATACTTCCTAGAGGACATTAAAGCTCAATCGACACTGATTATGCTACTAGAAAGTAATAAATGTGGCCTAAAACATAAAACTATAAAAAAAAAATAACCCTAACCTAAACATAATACTTAAGAACGACATTGTATTGTTCAAATCAAATTACAGATTTTCCAATAATTGAAGAATACATGTAAAAAAACACTGTGTCAACAAAAAATTTTATACTACAGTATTTCCATTGATACATAGACCATTTTTCGACAACAAGAAAACGAAATTTTTCAATCCTCACACCTACAGTGTTTTACATGTTACAAATCTATTTCAGGGCTCTATCAAATTTCCAAGAAAAATGTCAATGGACTTTTTCTCTCGAATAAAGATGTACCGTGCCGAGTCGTTCTCATCAGTGTGAAAAAAATTCTAGACTACAATATTCTCATTGGTGGTCCGTAGGCCATTTGTCGACACCAAAAGACAAGCGAAATTCTTCAATTTTCGCACCTACAGTGCTTTGCTGCACGTACACACTTCAATTATCGAACTATTCGAGCTAACAGAAACGAATTTCAGGGCTCTATCAAATTTCCAAGAAAAATGTCAATGGACTTTTTCTCTCGAATAAAGATGTATCGTGCCGAGTCGTACTCACCAGTGTCTGCATCTTGCGACTATGTGGTATTCCCAGTGAACCTCCTTGCTCAACGAAGGACTGTTCGGCCTGTGCACCTTGCTACCGATCTGGTTTTGACTTATATACATACACATGGCGGAGGGGACGCAAGCGCGCCGGGTGGACGGGTGTCCTCGAACCAGGAACCAGAGGAACCGTCGAAGGACAGACGACGGAGATCCGTTCACCGAATGTACGTACACGGGGAGACACGGATCCCCTTCGATCCGGATCCACGTGAGAATCGTCGTTTCGCCACGCCCTCCGACCGGTCATCCTCTCGACGCTTTCGTCTTTTTCCTCTGTTCAGGATCCGCGTTTTCTACACTATACAAGAAGGGGGAGGGGGGATCGCAAGTCAAGTTCAACGAAACGGACAACGTTGGTCGAACATTCGAATATTCCCCCGTGAAGCATCGAACGGATTCGAAAATAGAGAATACTTTTTTCCATCCACGAATCTCAAAGAAATTTTACCTAGCTGGGAAAAGCTAGAGAAATTACACTACCCAGATAACCGATATGCGTGCAGATTGACAGCAGATTAGCAGCAGATTGATAGCAAGTCTTGCACTGCCTAAGTTATAAATTGACCCAGTTATAATTGTCCATGGAGGTTGGATGAAACTCTAGAAGTAGTGAATCTCAAGGATCGTTGATCTGTAATTCTCCATTTTATTAACCTTGTTACCGGTCTTCAAGTCTACTTCGATCGACTCGCATTTTCGTTCCTTTAACCTTTTTTAATATCGACCGAAAATAGTCGTATGAAATCTCTTAGGTGTTCAATCATTGGTGCATTTGTTCCCTATCATTGTGCAGCACTGATAATCATAATCTGATCTCTTCAAAGATATTCACAGGCTTTCCGAAATCTCTTGCGTATTACTACTTCCTCGTAATTATTTCAAATGTACCCGCTAGGCTAAGAACCGTAGCGGGTGAACCAGAGAATTCTAAGCCTGTGTCCGGTAGTCGAACTCTTTCATGAGACCTCGAAATTCTCCATGTCGTCGACTGACGTGAAATCGTGTTCTCGGCCTCTGTTTTCGTTACCGTTAAATCCGTGTTGTGTAGTAGTCAATGCCAAGGCGACAAAAGCCGACCGGCCACTTTCTTTCGAGGATCGTGATCGATCCAACCAGGGGGACACACAATGGGGAGTCATGATTGCGTTCCCTCGCACCGCACAGTGGTACATAATGACCGATTATTTTCGAAATCAATCCACAGGTCGTTATTTTTTAATAAATTTGAAGCCCCTTTTTTTCGTAAATTTATCATAATGAAATTCTCCACCGATCTGTCCAGCCTAAACTTCAAATTTCGTTGCTCGTTTATTTACATTTAAGGAAACATAGAGATTTTTAAGAAGATCAGTATCTGTGGCTTTTTCGGTCTTGATTCGAAATTCAATACCGCGAAGGGAAATTTTATAAAATAACCTAAAAAAAGATGAATTAAAATTTTAAATTTTATACACGCTAAGTTTCTTGCAAATAAGCTCATTTCCCGAAACTTCGCTTTCCCGTATTAGATTCGCCATTTTGAATTTCGAAACTGTCTGACCTTAAATTCGTAACCATCGATGAACAAAATCCCACAAATACCGATCCGATAAATATGAACAAACGAACAAAGAAATTGCAATATTTCCGGCTGGACAGGTCGATGAAGAATTTCATTATGAAAATTACGACCAGTGGACCAATTTGGAAGAAATAAGTCATTATGTATCATTGTGCGCCGCCCAACGATTCGGACCGTCCTTGATCGGGGACATTGCCGGCCTTACAACTTGTACAGGCGAAATTGTTCGCCTGCCGTGGCCTTTTTTTCCCTCCAGTCTGACAGATTTTTCTTTGTTTTTTTTTTTCGTTTCCCCTCCGACTGGATACGAACCGCCAGACACCGTGTGGAATCCTCCCTTTTGCCGCAATAAAATCAGCTGAACACCGCGCGCGTCAGGGTCGCGGTGACCCGGACCCAGAGAACCAGGCGCGAATCAGTATCCGGATAAGGGGAACATCGAGGGGAAGGGGGAAGGGAGAAAAATGGTGAAACAAAAGTGATTGTCCGGGCCCGTAGCGTGTGTCGCGTGCGAGAGGGAGTTGGCGGGCTTTAATCGCGTCGCGTTTCAAACCGGGGGAATTATTTGTCATTGTCGACTGGGACACGGAGTGGAGAAGACGACGGGAACCATCGTGGTGTTCTTGGTGCCGCGCGGAGAACCTGAATACTCATCGTGATCAGGATCCTTTTAGATTCGAAATCCCACTTTCCTGATGCGACGTCGCACGGGAACGGGTGATTTTCTCTCGGAGACGAAATTAATTGTGGGCACATCGTGCGTGTCCCCCCCACCCCTCCGTGTTTCATGGAGGTCCGATCTTTCGTTGAGATGAACTTGGTTGTGGTCTTCGAAACGGAGAACCGTGTGTGACACCCTGTGGATAGATACACACTTGTACCACTGACGTGCAAACGCAGTTTCCGCTTGGGGAAAAAGTGGCGCAAGGGTGGCCGTATAACACTTGGTAAATTGAATTCGAGTGGATATTGAAATAAATGTTGAAATTGGCATAAATTTTAGTAACCTCGGGAAGCATGTAGTAATAGGCCCTCTCACTATGACAGTTTTTTTTACTTAGCGGAAGCCGAGTTTGCAGGTCGATGTACCATTAGTTGCAGGACTATAAAAAATCACCCACTGGACGTCAAAGTTATCCCAACTTACGACACTTAACCCTTTGCACTCCGTGATTCTTTTACTCTGAATTACCAGTAACTGTAAGATTGAGCAAGAAATTAGTAAACTATACTTTACCAACATATATTTTCATGTGGCGATAATTAAAATCTTATTCGTTGGTTTATAATAAAGGCCATTAGTTTATGAAATATTTCATGTTCAGTGCCGGGGTGCCTTCGAACACTCATCAAGGATTTACTGTATGTCGCTGTAGCAGCGCTAATGGAGTGCAAAGTGTTAAATAGTTCAACAGTTTCTAAGCTTCTCCCACGATGGACATTAAATACATTAAAACTAATAACTAGAATCTGTTCTCTGTGTCGTTGCAGTAATATTTTATTAAAGTTCGTTGTACTCGGAGGTGTTTCAATCGGATAGTACCGGAGCTACATCCATAGCTCGTTGCGGAGTACTAGTGGATCTATTAAAAGACAGACCACGTCCTCTTCCACCGGCCGATCTGGTCCTTTAAGGAGATTCCTTGCTCCTGGTCATCGGCCGGTGGAAAGTCAACATGTATGTAAGTACGTGTAGGCGACCGAGCAATCCTGGACTATCTCGTTCGTTCGTAGATACCCCGGGACTCCCCCCCCCCCCCCCCCCCCCCCCCCCCCTCCTCGATCACCTTGATGCCCATTTGTTCTCCAGCTACCTAGAATCGCTAGAGACGCTCGTAGGAAGTGGCAACTCACGCTCGTAGGCGAGGATAGCGAACAAAAGCGTGGATAATCAGGGAATTAATGGTCTGAAGTCGATCCCAACCATGGTATACAAGGGAGAAAAACAAAAATGTTCGATGGAAGGAAAACCGTGATAATCCGAGAATCGAGTATACCGTGGAAAATAGACTCGAACCAAGGTATATTCTTCCAGAGAATTAATAGCGAATGCGGGTACCGTTACCTATCGCAATTTTTTATTTTCCCTTCGGAAACATCATGGAAAAAGATCGAGAATGAACTAGAAAAATGTATGTTCAGAAATACCGTGAATTAGGATTCTTTCCTCGTTTCCGAAGTGAGCATATATCGCGAGAGGATCATCAGGTGCCCCGTTATTCCTCTAATGAAGCGGCCAACTCTGTGCTTATCACCTTGGCCACGGTGTTAATTGCGATTTATAATTTCGCTGCGCGTGTACAGACTCGCGAAAAGTTATCAGAGCCAGGTTTTAAGGCGCGATTGCGAAAGAGGATCGTCAAGCCACAACGTCGTTTCATGGGTCTTGGGACGGAACGATGTGGCGGGATTACATCCCAGCGGGGGCCAGCCTGTTAGAATTCCAACAAGATGCACGCGTCCGAGAGGGCAGTAAAATGATTTTTTTTAAATCTCCGGGACCACACCCACGCTCGCTCCTGAGATCCGGCCCTTGCATATTTGCGGAGGTCGTGTTACGTCGTAAACAACATAAACATAATGCAATCCGGTCGTTGGGACCACACCCGACGGTGTACCCGACCGGAATGATTTTTTCCGCTCATAGGCGACGGACACACGATAGAATCATTCGAGGGCCGTACATACTGAGCGCTCACACGTGACCCGGTCCCCTATCGCGATAAGGGTCCCCCTGGTGTCCCCAGCGATGTAGCATCGATCTTCGTGGCATACAAAAAAGATAAAGGAATAATCGATCTTTGGATAAATTCGAGAATCGAGATGAGTCACGCTGGTGTGTTTGCGTCGGCCTCCTACGAAAGGATTCATGGTAGTTTATTCGACGATATAAATGAGACGGTGCCTATTTTTAAGGTAATAAGAACCGTTTAATTTTTTTTTCTTCTCTTTTTTTATAATGACGAAACACCGATATTATTGTTTCACGTGTCCTCCGGTTCGATTCTTAACTGTAACACTTGTACACCTCGCACGACGGTCAGCTTCAGATCTTTCGACGTCTCGATTGCTTTGTAAATGTTTAGAGCGTTCAATACTGGTTCGTCGTTCACGTGCGTTATGATGTCACCGGATTGCAGGCCACCTCTGAATATAGAAAGAATGATTTGTATCTGGTTTTGTAGTTGGCAGTAGTATAATTTGATACTGGGAACCTTACAAGTGAGCCGGCGATCCGACAATCACTTTGCAAATTAGAACCCCATGCCTGATGTTCTGTGGAATTCCTTCGAGTCTCTGTTGCAGTTCGAAAAGTAGATTAGGCGTGAGAGAGAGCATGGTCACTCCTAAGTATCGATTCTTAGGAATGGTGAGTGAACTATGTGTACCTAAAACATTGTGGATTTAACATGCCGTTCGTATATTAAATATTGTCTTCGCGATACTGTACCTTTACTCTTTCGACGCATATCTGCCTTCTTCAGAAATTCTTTAGCATGATCTATAGGTATTGCGAACGAAATTCCAGGTGTTACTTTCATTGCATTTATACCGATTGCTTCCCCATTTAAATTAACTAAGGGTCCACCTGAATTTCCAAACTGAGGAATAACGATATTTAATAAAAGATTAATACCATTTGAATAGTTACATGCAATAGAAAAACACACTAACAGTAATTGCAGCATCTGTTTGGATGTATCCCATTTGTTTATTATATAAACCAAGTTCTTCGCTTTGCCTGTTTACACTGCTTACAACACCACTTGTTATTGTGTTGCTTAAAGCTAATGGAGATCCAATAGCAACTACAAATTCACCTGGTCTGATATTAGATGAATTACCAAGTTTCATTACTGGTAGATTAGTCTATAAAAAAAATAATTATTGTAATAATCTGATAATTAACATGTCTATCATAGCGTATATTGTACATGAACCTTGTTAATTCGCACAGTGGCAAGATCGCTGTGCATATCAACATCTTCCACAATGCCAGTATAAGTATTTCCATCATAAAGGCGTACCTGTGAAAGATATTCTATGAGAACTGAAAGAATTTTTTAACAGTTACTTTACATCTTTTTAAGTTAATGTAACTATATATACACTATCTTTATAGTAGATACCTTGACAGTAGTGTTTGGCTTATTGACAACAACATGTGCATTTGTTAAGATTAAACCATCAGATTGGACAACGAAACCAGACCCATTACTAGCAGTAATTGGTTTGCCTGTAAAATAATCGAATCTATTTCATCATTAATAATTGATCCAGCAATAATTATACTGTTAAAGTATTTTGTATAGATATCATTTACGCTTACCTTTTATTATCCTTGATTTCAATGTACACCACAGAAGGGGCCGATATCTCTACTACATCAGCTATGAAATTGTATTTATCTCTGTTATGATTAATATCCAGTACATTAATCGATTTTGCTGCCACTTTGGGTGTAAGACTAAATTGTTTTCTATTCCCATTATCGGAATCATTTCTCAAATTGTACCAAATGTAACTGAGTCCAGAAAAAAGAAACGTATAGGCTAGAATTTCTTTAGTGTTCTTATTGAAAGTTCGTTGCTTTTGCGGCCTTGTATGAAAAGACTTGATGCCTGAAAAATGATTCACAAACAGAAAAACTGAAACTTGTTTGTACTGAAATTGATTTTTCTTAAAAACGGTCCGTGGTAAACGTAACAAAGGGGCGGCCATTTTTTAACCAACTACTTTTCAGTTTGACATCAGATTTTGTATTCTCGCGCGTTACCGATACATTTCTTTTCATTAATTGGATAACAAAAAAATGTATAAGTAAAAGTATTTGGAGTCAAAATTGTATTAATAATATATATATTGTTCTTTTCTTCTACTGTAATGAAATGAAGTTGTCTAAAATAGATCCTAGATCTTTAAATTTAATTTAATAAGTTAGACGTTTTCAGAATTACATTCAATACATCATAGTTAGAAAAGTTCGAATTGTCACAACATATTCAGATTAGAAGTTTCAAACTTTTTATTAGAATATACAGATTTTTTATTAACAACAATCTTTATTTACAAAATTTAATTATCATTTACAATGTTTTTCGATTTTTTTATCTTTCTCGTTTTAGTTATGCCTCCATATGGTTGTTTTAATTGTTTTGACTTTCTCAAGATTTTTACTTTCAAGTCTGACTTCTGATTTTTTCCTTTCTTTTCTAACTTTTCCACGGACTTCTTAGCATTTTTATTTTGCAACTGTTTTTTCCCTTCTTTTCTTTTAGGTTTATGTGAATCGTCTACTTTTATCTTTTTCATATTGTCTTCAGTTTCTTGGTCATTATTAGTCTCATGTTTCTTAAGTCTTTTAGTTACAGATACCATTGTATCATCCTCCTCATTGGTAGTGCATTCTTTCTCAGTATGTCCTACAAATAATAAAATTAATTATGCTAATTATCGTATTGTATTTCATATACTACAAAAGTGATACATACCAAATTCATTGCATTTGAAGCATCTTCCATTGATTTGAAATTTCTGACCACATACATGTTTGGCAACAATGCATTTTTTACAAGTTTCACAATGTTTCCAATAAGGTTTCACACATTTCTCACACACATTACAGTGTTTGTAAGTAGAGCCATTCTTTGAGGTACAGTCTTTGCATTTGTTACAGTGTTTATTTTCTTTGGAAACCCATTTCTTGCATTTTTTGCAATATTTATAACCATCTGACTGAGATAGTTCCAACAAATGCAATGGTATATTTGTAAACATTCTAATAGGTGAAGGTAGCTTATTAGACTTTGGGTTTCCCACAAATAATGGATGATTCTCGTAACATACTTTATAATCTGTTAGCTTCAAATCCTTCAAACCTCCAGATATACCAGGTGGATTACTTTTCTGGTTCATTAAAGCTTCCATATAGTATGGAAATATAAACATAACTTTCAAACAAAGATTTTCATCTTCTATATTATTCCATTTTTTATGAAGATCAGAAAGTTTCTTAATGGTACATGACATTGGCTCTATCCGACTACCAAATGGTGGATCACATATTAAATATGTGTCATGTCCTTGATTTTGTGTCATAAAGTCTTTAAACACATGCATGGCATTTTCATTGAAGAAATGATTGTTCAACAGATTATACCAACAAAAATTTAATGGTCCAAAAAAGTTGTGCTGTAATACAACAATAACAAAAATAAAATCAACTTTACTTACCCCTTTCTCAAATATTATTTTCTGAAACTTAAAGAACTTACAAATCTTCCATCAAAATCTAATAAAAGGGACGATATTTTGTTTTCGTATTTATCCAAAATATATTCATGAATTTTCGGGGTACCAATACAAAGAACTTGCTTTGCACCAACCTTCAGAAGCATATTTGTTATATCTTCAGTTGATTTCTGTGCAAAGAAATATTGAGCTTCTTGTTTAGAATTTTCCAAAGGCTTTAAAAATTCTGTTGGATGTTTCATCTCATAATCTGTAATACCTCTTTTCGTGTCATGGTTTTTGTGCTTTTCATTTGCACCTTTATTGCCATCATGCCATAGTCTGTCACAAGTATGACAGTAATATCTTTTTTCTGGAGCTAGCTTCATTATCTCATGATAAAATAAATATAGTAGTCTATGATTATAACGAGAGGCATATTGTTTTCTTTCTTGTTCCCATTTAGCCACCTGTTGTTTTGTTAGCTGTTCTCCTTCTTTTAAGTGAAATTTACATAGCTTTCTTTCACGACAGGCTGCACATACATACATTTTCTCCAATTTGCCATTTTCATATGTGCCAAATAATAAAGTTGGTCCTATATAAAAATACTATTAACACGAATGCTTAATGTACAATAATGAAAGAGAATCCAATTATTGATTACCATGTGGACATTGTGGATGTTTACTTAGATCAGACCAAAAGCATTCCATGATTTTTGATTAAATTAAAAACAGTTATGGAATGATTTAAAAAGGATTACGTCACCATTTATCATGAACAAAGAATACGAATCTTTTTATTAGTGTTTGTCTTATTCATTTATTTTTCTTGTTACAAACAGTAGGTACAAACAATATTTTTCCGCAACAAAACAAAACTTACCCACATGGTTAGTCAAAACACATGACGGTAGTCGATCTTTAGATAATCGAATGTAGTTGCGACTAGGTTTGAATTGATACTACCAGGGTATCGATACTTACTTGGTATCGAAACAAAAGTATCGGTACCTACTTGTATTGAATTATATTTTTCTAATCTTGATACGTAACACAAAAGTTGTTTCTGCGTTGAGAGAGAATAAAATACAATGCTATACTTTATATATTTATTTAAATATTTAATATAAAATATAAAATATATAAACATAAACAGTACATCTCACACACATGGGGTCTTTTACGCATGCTCCGGGGGTTCTATGACCCCACTTTCTCACACACGGGGTCTCTGACGCATGCTCTATTGCGACTTTCGATCTACGATAATCGAATAAAGTTACGATTCTCGACCGCGATAAACGAACGATTAAATTTAAACTTTGTAGTTCAGTAGTTGCGCGAATTTGAGTGGTGAAGATCGATGAAGTGTTATAACTTTTTTTTTATTAGTGAATCACTTATAATAATTGGAAAAATTATGTGCTACTGTAACTGGATTGCTGCAGAACACAATGCTGCTTCAAAGTACGTATTTTATTTTCAAATGAACTATTTTTCCATAACTTATTAGTTAAAATAACGTATCATCGTTAACTGTTACAACTTCATATTCTCCACAAACCAAGAATTTAAACATCAGTCTCAGTAAAGTTAAGCGTTTAATTTTATTAAAATTTCTAAGAAGACTGTTGAATAAAATATTACGGATTACATCATTTTAAATTTATAAACTTAAACTAGATATGAGGCTTATTTGTTACCTTCGGAAAGCAAATATATTTTTGAAAATTTTATTTTCATATATAAAATTTTTATTTACACATTTCTTTCGGAAGAAATAAAGATACATTAATCGGAGTTCATTGCATTTTATTGTAATTTTTTTCTACAAGTGCTATTTTGCTTGCTATATCACATGTACATACTTATTATGTGTGTGTGTATATATATATATATGTACGTTTCCGAAAATGAAACTGCTAATATGTATATAAGGCAAGTTAAGCCTCTAGAGGCTATAAACATTTTCGTGCGTTGTTCATCAGAATCGTTTGTAGTTGTTCTATTGTAAAAATACACATAATGTTATACTTTATAACGTTTTGTATACTCAAAACTTTCAGTTGGACCATAAATTACCTTGATACGAAAAAAGGAACAAAAAAATATATGGTCACGGTTCTTTTCGACGATTTATAATACTGTATCAATAAATAAATATTTCACAAACAGTTAAAATTATGGTACAAACAAGCTGGTCTACATGGAATGGATAAACGACCACAAAATCTGGGTAATAAATTCAGCTGAATTGAGCGAGTCGACTCGGAAACAGTCCTTTTCTTGTGTTTCCATTTTAAAGCATTCCTAAATGATCTACAGAATCGACACAACTTCTCAGTTGCTTACATCCTCTCACTTTAGGCTGTGTTTATTCTGCTAGATTATATCACAGACTATCATTCGCGGTTGAAAACAAACATTCACTAGAAGAACTCTTACTCGTGACACTTCTACCACATGTTAGTGCAACTATGAAATGTTTACAGTATATTACGATGAAATTAAATTATTTATATACATGATGTTAATCGTCTAAAGTCATAACTCGCTGTGTTTAGTCTACATTGTCTTAACAGAGTATTAAATAACAACATTTACTTCTTCATAATTCAGATCCTACATTGTATATGCAAACGTCCACTAGAATCGATTAAGTATAATGTACATAATATTGCAACTATGCAAGTATACGAATGTTGTAATTGTATCATTGATTTTTGGAACTATCAATCAAGCTTTTAGTGTAAAAAGCTTTGTTTTTGTATATTCAAAATAAACATTCAACTGGTTATGTTCTCATCATTATGAAGTACCTACATACTTGCAAAGATTCCATTGCTACTTCTTCACTTGTGGATAGTCGTAGATATACTTCAGCATGATTATTGACGCTAGTTTGCACATTGTACAGACCTCTGCAGAGGGTATTTACTTTGCACATCTCATCTTGCACTATACTTTCGTTTAATTAGCAATAGTAACATTATTCGCTAAGCTACACTTAAATAATTCTTCATATTTACATAATTGACTACAAAGCTTCATTGCCGACCTTGCTGCACATATAAATTTTCGATCTGTCAATACTGATAAACTGCTAAATGTATCACGTACATACCTGAATCGATAAACTTACAAACATAAAATAAAGGTAGAACTGCTACAATAAATAAATAAAAGTTTGGTATTCAAGAAAAGTTAACTGTGCAGCAAAGAACAGAGCTTTAGAGAATGCTGGAATTAAATTTCATGGTAAGCACACTGTTTCGGTAAATTCACGATTCATGTTCTAACATCAAAATGCAACACTAGAATCTCTTTCATAAAATCGTTACAAATACTGCCAAGATGAAAATCTTGTATAAATATGCCGAAGCATTTTGCAAATAGTTATCTGATGTAAGAGCTTTGTTGCTCTCATGAATATAGAGTAATAGAAAATTTGTAAGTAGACACATCAAGAAACTTGCCGTAGATTAAATATTGACCACATTGTACTTTGAAGTGGGTAATAGTTATGAAGAATTTCAAAAAATATGTCTTATCCATAGCGATTTCTCTTTGTAAGAAGTTTTTAGCAAGATGGCAGTAATCCAAAATAATCAAATGTATGAAACATGTGCACTGTGATTTGAATTTTCGAGACGGGTTTCATTTGACACTACCTCTAGATAATACCAACGGTAAAGAGTTATACACTTATCAATTCCAATGCAGAAAAACTTCCACGCCTATTATGCAATGTAAATATTTGTGTGTAATGATTTCCCAGCTGTTTGTTATTGCATATATTCTAAATTCTGAATTATAATCTTGTTGCTAAACATTCAGATTTCAGTTACTAGATTCTCAAAAAAAAAAAAAAAAACTTATAAAGCAATGAGCTTGGATTGACAGGAACCCCACCTCTCTTGTAACTTTTGACGTTGTTCCACGTGATGGTCCGATAGATTTCTCTGTAATCCTCCTTGCCCTGGTTTCAACTTTCTAGGATCTAAATTTGCTCCTAGCGTTTGCACGCCTTTCGCGAATTTCGAAAACGGTGACAGAATATCTTTGGCTGTGGTTGCTACTGGGCTGGTAACATTGGTGATATTAGTTTTAATAGACTTCAAAGCCGATTCACTCTGAGAAGACGTAATGTTCAAGGTCAAATCTTGTTCCGATGTCGATCGTTTCTTCTCTTGTAATCTATTCTCTGTTTGCAAATTGTTGGTATTTGCATTGCTGTGTATGAACCTGCTGTCAACTTCTCCGGATGAATGACTAATATTTTTGGTCAGATTTAATGTTGAGGGTGGGGCTACTCTGTCCTTGTCTTCTGTCGAACCGTCTGTCACATTCTGAATTGTTATTTCTGGAGTAGTCGCCGTAGTCCTCTGAGGAGACGTGCTCAGAGTGCTTGATCCGGACACAGGTTCTGGTATCACCAAGCCTTCTGCATTGGACTTCTGATCTGGCAAATTGTTGGGTCGCATCAATAAGTTGTGCTCCTCATTGTTTTTATCGGAATCCATTACTTCAGCATTTTTAACACCCATTATAATCCCAATGGATGGAGTATAAGCTTCCATTAGATTTTTATCGTGACTGAAGTTCTCTGGTTTCTGTAAGGGACCGGACGAAATGTTTAAATTCTCGTCGTCGCTACTGCTACTTCCGCTGTGACGTTTTCCATGTACAGATATATCTCTGCCACCGAGCGTGAACGTAGGTTTAGAGGATGCTTCGGACTTCTTGCCTATACTTTTAGCCAAGTCAATTGGTTTCCTAGCGCTAAAACTATGACTGAGTTTGTTTAATTTACTGAACTGCTCTGACATGTTGTTTAACGCTTTCGTTCCTGTAAACGTAAAGAAATTCTGTAAGGTGTTATTTACTTAAAAACACGAATAGAGAACGTTAACCATAGAAATATGTACCTGCACTTTTAAGAGCTAGTAACTGTGTCTCGGAGACATTTCTAGTCAACTCAGGAAATGATGATATGTCTAGGAGACCTGTAGTTCCTTTCACATTAACTACTTTACTCTTTCGTCTATCTAATGTTACATTCATCGCTATGGGAGCCTTTGGAAGACCTGCTATTTCCATTGCTACGGCAATAGCCTCGCAGATTGCTTTTAAAGATTCTACAATGTAAAGATCAGTATATAATTCGAGCCAATAATTTGTATATGGTAATATAAACGTGTCGCCTCACCTATACCTTCCTCCTCGGTTTTTACAACAACAGCCATGTTGTTAAAAAACCGTAAGTTTGTACTGCGAAACATGTGAAAGTAGCCATATTCGTTGGCTACCTTGTAATTTATTCTAATACAGTAAAAATGCTTATTTTTAAACAGAGAAACTAGACTCTCAGGTTGTCCAAATTCGATCAACACAATATCCTCCAGTGGAACTCTTTGGTAATTTGTAACTTTGTCGATCTGGTCGTCATAATCAGCTACGTAATAACTGTCTCGCGTTAATATAAGAATAGTATCCATTTCTGTTTCGGTTGGATCTCCGGTTCTGTCGATGGAACAACATTGCGATGAAACAAATATTTCAATATATCATGAAAGATCAAAATTACGATATAAACGTATAAACATACACTGGATCCGCATCTATAAGACCCCAACTGCCTAGAATTATTTCTGGATCGGGTATAAGTAGTTTCTTGCAGTCCTCTATCAACAGTTTCACATGAATCGCTGTTGCAGCATTATCCTCTTCTTCTGTACGTTCTTGAAACACTTCCTCGCTCACTGAATTTCCTAGCATCATATCAATGGTAGCTTGCCTATAGACATCTTTGAAGCGATTTAAATAGTATCTGAAAAAACATGCCTTGTCAATAGACGTACACCAAAGGCTGCGTTCAGAGGAAAGTGGAGAAAGGTTGCTTTATACAGATAGAAAGATTTTCCTCAGGCTTGAGATCAAACTTAAAACTCAAGCATCTGACATGCAATAGACACTTTAGCGTGCAAGTACCATATGAAAGTACGGTTTACACTGTTATTCAGCATCTTATTCATTACACTGACAGAACGTTTAGGATGTCGAGTTAAAGTTTCATAGGTGTTCTGACTTTGACAAAACATTGAACCCAAAGCGTAGAACGAACCTTACTAAATAATACATAGCACTGGCATAAATAAAGTCAGGATAAGTAGCAATTTGAAGCTCTATGCTTGTCGGTTTCACGGGTATTAGCTCATTGCAGCAATGATCAAAGATGTCTAAATAGTGCGACCAATCGAGTTTCAGTTCATTAAAGTTGATGGGATTCCCTAGCAAGGTATCTATCGCCGCTTGACGAATGTCGTCCAGAAAGTGTTGTTGAAAATATCTATGGGAAAATGAAAGGATAGTGTCAGGGTCCTATGTATGTAGAAAGAAATCGGTATATCGTGAGTGATGATTGTGTTGGCGCTAATGATGATGCAAACAGATTGTCATAATTTATTTGTAATGAGAACGTTACATCACTTGAACGGATTTTTCCGAACCATGTACGGCAATATGTTGTGTAGGATATGTGAATGAGAGTGATGAATCTAATGCAATGCAGAGCATGTATGGTAATTGCTGTCCAATTGTACCTGTTCGCAGAATTCATGCCATCTTTCATTAAACCGGTAAATTTTCGTTCCCCTGTTCTTGTGTAATCCCCCTATAAGCAATAAGAAACCACACATCATAAACATTCACGGGGTTCCAGTACAGTTTAGCTTATAGTCAACTCATGGCAGACCAATGAATGACACATGGCTACCAGAGTACAAACCTTCAGAGCATTTGTGCCAGCGTATTGTTTACTAATAATATCCCCATTATTCGCCCAAAGCAACTGAAACGTCTGTCTAATATTTGCTGGTAGCGTGCCATCCGGCGGTATTAGTCCCAGCTTGGAAAACTGCATTTCCATCACAGCTTTACCCAGAGCAGTCTGCACCACGTTCGTTCTATCTAGACAATCTATGCAATTCACCCGAAACACTCCCTTCTGCATGCAAATTGTGCCTTGCTTATCGCGCCAACAGTAGCCCATGTCTGTCAGTACCGTAGCTAATGCATTGACCAGGATAGTCACATTTTCAAAATGCATTCCGCGACTGTGTTAGATACAAAGGTACATTTAGCAACAAATCGAAATGCCATTCGGAGTCTGAAGCTTCGCGAGTTCTTACCAGTATTCATGGAAATCAAATATTGTGTACGTTATGTCCGGATGGTTGTAATTGATCACGTGGTTACTGTAAGCGTCCCAAATGATTTTCTCTTTACCCGTTTGTTCTACAAGATTGACAATACAAATTGGACCATACACCCCGAGTTCTTCGGTAAAATGTTTCTCAAATGTAATTTGTGTTTCTGGTTCGTCTAGAATGTTACAGATATGATTACTTTAATTCATATAACTCTGTTCGCTACGACTGGATGTTCCTTTAGTACGACGATGCTGTACGGCCGTTATTCATGATGATAAATATATAAATATCAGAATTATAGTAATATATATTAATTACCTTTGTCAATATGTGGTGGAGGCTTGTATTTATAGCCAGGCTGAGACCAGTATACAGGTACACTACCTCGAACTTGTACAAAAGATACCTGGTGGTCATGATACCAAACTAATTGCTCTGTTTCCACATAGTTTGCACATTTTCCGTCATCATCCACACCACGTCGCTTATATCTTTGTCGTAATAGAAAACATACTTTTATACATAAAATCGTTAATGAGATAATTATAGATGTAAAAGGTAATCACCTTGTTCCTGCACGAAACCTGCTTCTCCTTGATATAATAGCTAAATTAAAGGTTTCATGCTGTTGTTGATCATCAAAACCTACTTCTACTTTGCACTGTTCTATTTGTACATATCCCTGAATAACTGGCAGTATCCAGCAGTTGGCTTTATCTGTCTAAAAGAACAAATATTTCATAAAAAAAAAATAAATCCTATAAAAACAAGCAGCTAACTTCATAGATACTGACTTTTAGATTAATTATATCCTGCAGCATATGCTTATTCCAAAAAAATCTGTCGTCTACTCTTTGCCAAAGTGGTTTGTGTGATTCCTCTTCATTTTTCTGTGACTCTGTAATGCAAAGTCTTTGTAGGCTATTAGTAATGTCCCCAGTTTGACAATAATAGAAGGAATCTGTTTCTGTAAAAATTTTATTCAGCTCTTCTAAGATTCTTTTTTCGAATCTTTCTTTGTCTTTGACAATGCTTCGTTTAGTTACTGTAGATTTCACCTGAACACAACATTCCATTATTTTCACATTCTTTTGACCAATTAAATCTTACGATATGTATGTTTTTAAAAGTACCTGAGATGTTGCAAGTGCAGCTGCTTGCTGTGTAGTGTTTTTTATTGTGTTTGTCGCACTTTTAATGGTTCCCCATGTTTTGGCAAAAGCAGCTTTTTGTGGCACATCGAACAAACTACCTTGACTTTTTTTCTTTGGCAGATTCTGATGCTTTTTGCATGGCAGAAGTCCAATATCACTGTTTTCAGTGCCAAGATGCAAAAATGCAATAGATTTAATCTTATATATAACATGGCCACCATATAATTCTCCAGCTGGTGAAACTTCTTTAATTAGCATCAAACGAGGCTCTAATACTGAGACCTGTTCTATTTTCCCAACGATTCCATAAAACATACCAAGACATTCTAAATCCTTCGGAGAGGCCCATTCCCAATCTGCAATATAACTTATAATCACTAACAACCAAACATATTAATAATATAAATGAAATCATAAACCATATAATTTCTCCTGTAATTATGTTAAGTGGTATACATCCTATGCATTTATATAATTCATAGACTATAGCTATTGCAAAAGAACATGCAGCCTGCCTTTTAAGGTATTTCCCTGCCTGTATTATTTTATGTATTATACCTAATATAAAATTAATATTTCTACTGTGACAAGTGATGCCGCACAGTTCAACCTAATAGAACAACTTAATGTAATATTATTTTGTTTGTATTTCGCAAAAAATTATAATGATTATGTGTAAAAATAATGAACTGGGAATCGCAACGTGTATTCTGTTTGACGTGTGAATGTACACGAACCTCTGTCAGAGGTGCATACCCACCCGATTTCGCAGAGAATTCGCCCGTGAATTTGTCACACCAAAGGCTGTACCTCTCTTTCACGAAAATAAAATGCGTGTCAGTACGAAAAAGTTCCATTATTCTGACTTGTCCGCAGAATAATGATTTTCTGACTACATGTGTAACGTCACCCCTTTTAACGAAAGTCCGCCTCTGACGGACATTTCGCCATCTTGCTGGTACATGAGATTTTAACAATAAGTCCGTTTCATCGACTACACACATACCAAACACACACACATCCTTCAATCAGAAAGTAGATGGCGATAGGAAATGATGCACACAGTCAACGGTTTTATTATTATTTTTTGTCAATCGAAATTAACATGTAAACTTTAAAATGCATTTCACAATTTAATGATAATTGCAATTTTGAATGTTTCGAGCTTATTCTATTTAACGCTTAATTTAAAAACAATTTTCGGAAAAAATAAGTTTGGTTTTTGTTTATAATATAAAGGCTTTATTCAGATAATTTTCGATTACATATTTTGTACATATTTCATATAACTCATAAGTACGTCATAAATACAAAGAAGCGTGTGAAAATATGCGAATTTATGGAGTGTAGCATGAAAACAAAGCACTGTAAATAACGAATAGTAAAGGTTCATTTGTTAAGATCATTATTCTTGGAAGTATACTTAAAAGGTCCTCTTTTCATAGATACTCCTTTCGTTTATACAGAATTTAATATTCTTTTCCTTTCGTTACCTTCACGGCAGTTAATGCTGGATTCTAAATGTCTTCTGAATGGTGGAAAGGTTCTTAAAACTTAACAAGTACTTAACACTCTCAATGATTTTACTTAGTATTAGCGGATTCATTTCTTCTTTCTTGTCTGGCTTTCTTAGCTTTGTATTCTTCCCATTTCCTATGATTAAGGATCTGAAAGTCATCAAGTTCAGCTATTAATTTTAAATACTCTGAAAGCTTCAACAGCTCCCTGTCCTTAGTCCTGGTAATGTGTGCATGTCTGAAAGGTTTTATTCTCAGCCCAGACTGTGGATTCATGATAAAGTTCCTTCCAATATCATCAAGCATTATGGTGTTCTTTGCAGAGAACTGTTTGTACTTTCCCCAGATGATACTAAGAGGTTTCACCCAGACTAAACCATACTTTGGTGTGTGAACAGAAATCATAGCTAGAGAGTCAAGATGAAATGCTATTTTGTAAAATGGATGATTTGAGATGCCGAGTAACTTCATCTTTGTATTGATCCATCTCATACTAGTTGCAGACCAAATTACTATATCATAGTCACGATAAGCTTGCATTAAAAATTCATGAAGGTAAGGACGCATCAATTCCACACCACTTTCTGCAGTCGATCTATGGTCAAAAAGAGTATGATCAATGTCTAGTACCAAGAGCTTTTTTCCTTCCCTGAGAGGATTTAATTCTGTGATAACATAGTGATCGATTTTCTTTTGGATTTTAGAGAGGTAGATCTCAGCATTTTCAATCTCCACTTCCTCCTCCTCAATATCCAAATCATTAACTACATCAGGCATGTCTTTCGGAGCATGACTTACTTCAGCGATATCCTCTTCTCTGGAGCCCATTAACATAAGCTTAAAGCCAGGCCTCAGGCCCAGTTTTCCTATGATATCCTCATCCTGAGCTGCTTTGCCTGGTGGGGAGAAACATTCTATAGAGACTTGATCAGAGAATTAATGGGAATAAGTTTTAGACTCCCGAAGCAAGAATTCAAGAACTGAAAAAAAAATGAACAGAAACATCTCTTTTTCCTAAATAAGTGAAAAAATTTGAAGAACTAGCATTATTCTGAAGGAAAGCAATGGTGAGGACAAGCACAAAGCCACTTCAAAACATAACCTTTGAACTTGAGGTTCAGCAGCTTCTGACGTTCCGGAAGAACACCCGTTTCCTTGTGTATACGCTCTTTTAGAGCGAAGACAGTATCATCGTGCTGTATATCCAGAATCTCGTACTCCTTTCCGCTCCATTTTACGATAATCTTCACTTCACCTTCCATCCTTCTGAAAGTAGTGACGCGATACCGAACGATACGGTACTACGAAATCGTCTTCTTCGTCTTCTCCGTCTTCTCTTGACGCTTAACACACGTTTGCGTGACGTGAACGTATACGTTGCATTGTGTGAGACTATAAGCCTGACATTTGTACGTTGTATTTGACCACGGATAAGAACAAGGATAGACCTAGCATTCAGTGTAATTTTATGTTATATACTTTGGGGGCTCTAGAGCCCTCTTACCATTTCAGTATCAATACCCGACGTTCCAGTAAAACATGAATTCAAATCAGTAGACGCTCGATAATTGATCATCTTGGGGCTGTCGAGGGCAAAATTTCCAGAAAGTAAAATAACAAATTTTCGGAAATAGCCTGGGATATGTACGCGGTTGAATTTATTCGTTAGTCGTAGGGTATATTGGAATGTAAGTTTTCGAAAATTGGTCAACCAGAGGTACAAAATATGTGGCTTTGTCATTGTTTATAATCATCGGAGTGCTGCGAAATGAAATTTCTGTCAGTGCCCGTTGAGCGGATCGCAGGTATACGTAGAAAAAAAAAGGTCGTACGAAAGTGTATAATATGGTGCTGAATATTCTATTTCGTTAAAATAGAAATTGGAGTGGGGTAGGAAGGGGAGCTACCCTCGCCCACCGATCCACCACTCACGATCCCCCAAAATAGCGAAATCAACTGATCGCGATCAGTCAAAGACGACCTAAGGGTCATTCGCCTCGAGGAAATTGTAGTGATAAGATGTGAAGTGATAAGACGTGAAGTGAACTCGCTCCCGTTGAAGAGTATGTGTTCTTTACTTTTCACATTTAATCTTTTATATCAATTATTAGTGCCTTCGTTAGCTCTTTATCGTTACTTTCGTTTAATATTTATTCAATTTCGAGTAAATTATCGTAAATTAATTCGATATTACGGGACAAGGTGATCGTTCTTCGCGACTTCCTTTATCCAACCCCGTAGTATTTACGCATTCCTGATTCCATTTACAATCTTTTACGGCACATCTCGAGACAGTAGTTGTTTATTTGTAACGAAATCATTGATAATTTGATGTAACTGCTTGGAGTAAACGCGTTTATTTTCTGTTTCAGAGCACCGAGTGGAAAGGACGTGCCACCGACTCCATGACAGTAGTAATTCGCCGGAAAATTGGTGAAACATGGTAATATGTTGTAACAAGTAGGTGACAATCTAATATATATTTTTATTTTATCGTTTCTCTATTGTGTTTGACTATAAGCACGATCGCGATTTTGTTATTTATTTTGCAAAGATCGAACGAGAATTCTTTCGACAAGTACTTTCAATTTAAATGCGCAGTTTCAAGAATTCAAAATGGCTACCATAGCCGTTAGAAACTTTAAACATTACTTTCAAACATTTAAATTCGAAATATTCGCGATATCAAATGGTACTTTGAACATATTTCTTTAAAGAATATACATAAATCTTTTCTCATTTCAACTCAATCTTCAATCACTCTCTAAAAACACGCATTTTCCAAAAGTCTATTTATTATTTCAGGATTACATCGACAATCAATATTGTTCTATATTTAAAAGTAATTTCCATTTATGCTTATTTTCCACGATGTCCATTTACAATATGCATTTCCCAATTACTACGGTACGCCTTGAGTGCAGCTTTTACATGGAAAGAAATTCGTTAAAAAAAAGTGATATTCAACTGTTATCGAACCAACGTGGCTCAATTACGTTACATTTGACAGGCGGTAATGGTATGGGCATTATGGACGGTAAAGATGTCGGTAAGAACTCTCCCGGCCATAGGTGAACAGCATCCATGAACAAGAATCCGATTAGTATGCCGTGCATAAGGGGCGCCACGATCCTCAGGAGTCTGCTTTTCGGCGGTTTTTGAGGCCAAACAAAAATCAATCGCGATCCGTCTATTGAAAAACCGAGAAATATTGTTAGTTACGAATACAACTGCGCGACAGACATAAGCGTAGTTAAGGTTTGCCAAAACTTTAGCCCAAAAGTAACCGTTGCCCTACCCTAGAGGGGAGAAAAATTATATATGCCCCTCCCTTCCCAGATGAGAAAAATAATATTATAAAATTGACCTTCAAGCCCCTTTTCCCTTTAAAATTTCGAAAAGGGTGATATTTAAGAATTTTTTTAAAGAAAGACAAAAGTTTTTGCATTTCTTTTTTTCATCATATCTTCTTTGCATTCTTTAAAAAAAATCCTAATTGAGACTGATAACCTGATTATACGCCCATTGCAACAGATTAAAATGACACATTTTTATTTGGTACGAATAATCGTACTAATACTTAGTAAATACTTGTGTTCCGACGAATAATCGACGATTTAACGTGATGAGGACTGACGCCTGGCGGAGCGCTAAATATTCCATTTCCGGTCGAAGTTTTCCGTTTCTTGTAGCTAAATCGACGGCCACCGCTTTGCCCGTATAATATACGATCTTCGAAGTTATGCTCGTAGCTGGATCTAGCCAAGCTTGTGATCGTGCTCCCGGTGCTGTCCTGAAGGGAGACGCTGGTCCCAGTTATTAAGGAACATTTGTCGTCGTCCGTGTCGCGACTGGTTAGGTCCTCGGCCCTTCTAAAAATATCAATTTGTCAAACTTTAGTCAGTTTCTCGTTGTATCGAGTTTCCGTCTATTAAAGGGTTACATACCTTTGAGCTGTTAGCTAACAGGGAAAATAAAAATTTTTTTTGTATATGCAGAATTATTGTTTATTAAAAATTCAACATATACAAGAAAATTTTCTAATGTTCCCTCTTATTTAACAACTCGAAGGTATCTAACCTTTTAACAAATTCGGGAAAATATAGGTTCGGTTGGTATCTAGGCTTATATTACTAACACCTGACTGAGTCGATGGGTAACATTATTATCCACTTCTGTCTGCTCCAGATTTCTTAGGCCTTTTTATTCGATGGAATTAATACATCCTGACTCGCGCAGAGCAACGTTAACGCATGCCGATATCCGTCGTGTTTCCATCAGAAACTGCGAAACAGCATCTCCAATAGCTGTTCTATATTCTTCTTTTTTTTTCATAGTATCGTTCGATACTCCACCAAATTCAGCTTGCACGGACATACATGCTCCGCCCACTGACAGATATTTTCCACTTGAAACTGTCAGTGGCGAGGCTACTCTCTTTCTCTCTGAACCATCTACCGTTCAAAATTCCAAGAAACTCATGGAACACCTTGATCACAAACATGATTACCTTAAAAATCTAATCGACAGAAAATATACACGGTAGCTTGTTCACAGTCGCAATCATCGTCGTTTCTTAACGGCACGGTCCAAAGTGATAAATCTTTGCACGAAAAAAAAAACGGAACGAAAAAAAAAATCCAAGCAAGATGTCTCGCTGTAAATGCACGTATCATTTTAAAACATCGAACCAAACTGCAAATAATTATACATGCAAGCCGGTTTTGTTCTACGGTATATTATATTGTATATCCTAGGTCCTAAATCGGATGTGAAACCGATCGAATGTTCTCCTTACTTCGAGAACATCACGTCCAAGATGGAGGAGCGTCGTTGCGATCTGATAGGCAGGGAGAAGAATTTAAGGGACAAGATCACGACGATGGAACGTTCGATACCGGCATTGATCGCGTACAACATGTGGATGGCCAAGGACAAATGCTTGGACTCGCCGTACTGCAAGATACGTGACATGATGAGGCAATTCTCCGGGCAGCCGGACCCGACCGAGCAGCTTCTCGCGAGCCTGAAGAAGACCGTGAAGGAACTGAACCAAGAGACGTCCGAGTTGCATGTACGGAACGAAATTGACATTCAACGGTTAAATTCTCGGTAAAATCTTCGCGCCCGGTTTCCGAAAGTATTATTAATAAAGGAGGATGATGAAAAGTGGGTCAAGATTTATGATTCTCCCGATATCGAAATTATTAACGAGACAATTATACGTTCCAAGGAATATATCATTATTTACCGCCAATGCGATGGGAAAATTGTAAAAAAAAAAAAAAAGCAGATGAAGAGGACGGTGCATGGAACGACAAATCGGGAGTTGTTGACTTTAAATAATTGTAACTTCTAAACGAATGCATGTAATATAATGATTTACACGCTATTTTTTAGATGAAAGTCTATATTTTAATTGTATGTAAAACAGCATTGTAGAAAACCTTGACTAACAACCTTAGTATCGCTCCATGCACCGTCCTCTTCGCCTGTTTTTTTTTAGAACTTTCCCATCATATTGGCAGTAAATAATTATGCATTCCTAATTCCTTGGGACATGTAATCCCTCGTTAATAATTTAAGTGTCGGAGGAACTGTAAATTTGGCCATTTCTTTACCATCCTCCTTTACAGCCACGCGACACCGCCAATATTTGTTCCGTTCGACAACACGCTTGACACGTGGTTTCAAACGCCCACCTAGGAGAAGATCATTCAAGCGGACGTGAAGTTGGAGGAGACCGACATGGAGCTCGAATCGTTGGAACTGATGAACAAGGAAACGAACGTGAAACTGACCAGTCTCGAGAACGAAGTGAACAGTTACGTGACGCCGAGCCTTCATTCCATCCATTCGGAGGATCTGATCTGTTTGTCGAAGATTCGTCAGCTGGCTAAGGAGGAGTTATGCTTGAAGCACTGTATCAGGCAGCTGGAACAAAAGGAGACGTTGTTCAAGGAGCACATGGACCGGTTGTTAACGTCCAGAGAGTATCAGAGCATGTCTAATAGACGAAAAATAGTCGGCTGTCTTCAAGATGTACCAGACTGCGGTGGCAAGAGGATATGCTGCTTGCCCAAGATGTGTTTGTCGCGCAAACCGGCCGGTGAACGTTTCAAGAAGAAGCCAGAGGACACTGAGATATTCAGCGAGAGCGAAAAAGTGAGCCTGTATATTCCACGTGTTCTACGTTCATTAACACGTTGAATGCCATGGGTGTCACCGGTTTCCCCACTCTAGGGAGTATACTTTTCGATATTATTAATATTGGACCATAAATCGGTAAACTTCTACAACCTAAATGCCAAAAGTATGATAACATTACTTTAAACCTTTGCATTCCGATGTCTAACACGGCGAAATTTATGTAGAAGCAACTTTGTATTTTTATACATTTAAAAATTAAAATATTCTTCACTTTTCCATGGGAGCCTCTAATGTTACATTGGATGTATAATTGTGTGTTAAAATTAAATAGTCCTGGAGTAGCTGGTTGCTCATAGTAAAAATGACTCGGAGTTGCTGGTAGATCATATTAAAAATTGCTCGGAGTGCAAAGGGTTGATAATTTTATATAACATTTTATTCTTCTAAATTCCTGCGACATTCAACGTGTTAAAGAACGATACACGTGTAACAGGCAAAAAGAAAAAGAAATACCCGTTTTTACGCAGACACAGACGCAATGCGACGCAGGAGTCTCCACTTCGGATCAGAACGTTAGCAAACAAGACAAAACGGAAGGAACGGCGGAGAGGTCTTCGTGGATTTCTAATTGGTGGTCGGGTAACCGGAAGAGTGACCAAGTGGCTCAGAAAAATGTAGAAACAACACCTAGCGGCGAAGATAATGTAAGACTCGGCTGGGTTGATTCTTTCGAGAACAAATTAGTCGAGAATCTAAAACTTTAGGGCTTCGTTTGTCGATAAGTACGATTGTTTTTATTGTGCATAGTATACATTCAATTTCGTCGTAGGAGATTAAAAAAGCAACCGCGGCGGAAGCATCAACGCAATCAAGCAGTGTCGGGAAAGAACCGAAGGAAAAGAAGGTAACCAGCGAGCAACCGTCCAAGAAAACGGATCAGACATCTTCTTGTAAACCTTGTAAACGCGAAATCTGTCCCCCGCCACATTCAACGAGAACTGGAAGCAAAAAAGGAAAGAACAAGCTCTGCGCGGGAAAATTGATTGGGCCCTGTAATGTTCCATGTATGAAGCCGTTTAAGGGTTGTTCCAACTCTAGACCGCCGAGGAAACCCTTCTGCGACATACCACGTTGCCTAATCGACCATGGTACGTGGTGCAATTCAGGGAATTATTTCCACGATCGAAACGGTTCAAATATCGCCGATTAGTACATACTGGGCTTACAGTAAACGTATCCCTCTATGTTTTTAACATCTATCGTTTAGCAATTAAGAGGATCGGTTGAATAAGGAACAGTGGAAACTAATTTCAGGCATTCGAAGCACGTGTAAATCGTTCGGCCCGCTTTGCGATCTTGGTGGTCCATGTGAAATTTGTCCGTTGATGACCTGCAAGGATTACTTGCAACCCACGAACAATTGCAGATGCAACTGCAAGGGTCAGTGTGCCAGTGGACTGTCGACGGCAGAGTGCAATTGCAGCGACGCATTGGAGGAGTACCAACCAACAGCTTCGCAGCTGCACAAGAGCCCAAATGCCGACGATGGGAACACTGATGACGAATACTGCGAATGTTGTTCATGTGGTTGCGAGGACAGCGATGCATCCTATTCGTGCCAGTGCTATTAATCGTGAATGTACCACAGTCGAGAACAATGGAAGCATTTCTCATATTACAATATATGTGTATGTTTATACATATACTTTGATTATACATAAGTATGTACATAATGATTTTAGAACTCTATATTATGTGGGTAATACTTGTGATGTTTAAGCCTGAAACAAAGTCAAATACGGAATCATGGAAGAAACATTTCTGACTTTGTGTAAACTATTTGTTGCATGCTAACATGTACTTACATGGTTATATTGTAGTATCTAAAATTGCAGTCCAAACTATCAATCGTGCTCATATCCTCTGGACTTAACTCAAAGTCGAAGACATTCAAGTTTTCCTGCATCCTCGATTTTGTTACCGATTTGGGGATAACCAAGTGCTCATGTTGTATCTGTTAAGAAATTTTCAAGTTACAGTCTAGCGGGATTTTATTCGAGTTAAATCATCGGACTACTTACTTGATGTCGTAGTACAATCTGCGCGGAAGTTTTTTTGTATTTAGCGGCGATTTCTTTAATTTTACGATCTTCCAGTAATAGTGGATCATTCGGGTCTGCGAATAGTCTATCCGGCGCTCCGAAGGTAGTGTAAGCGGTGATTGTAATCCCTCTGGCTTTACAAAACTCTGAAAGTTTCTTCTGATTTAAGTAAATATGACACTCCACTTGATTCGTCACCGGTTTAACTTTGCAAGATTTTATTAATCGTTCTATCTGCTCGGAATTGAAGTTGCTAACGCCGATATTCTTCACGAGTCCCTTCTCTAATAGACGCTCCATGGCACGCCATGTTTCCACATAATCCGTGTCCTCGATGAGCACATTACCATCAGCATCTTTTGGGAAACGTTCACCGATATCTATAACATAAATTAGGATCATTACTTTATTGTATACATATATTAACTGATACTTCTGTTTATAGAGAGAAAATACCTTTGAAAGCCATTGGTGAATGCATTAAGTAAAGGTCAAGTGTTTCAAGACCAAGATCGTTCAAGGTATTTTTCAGGGCAGCTTCCACTTGTTCGGGCCGGTGTTTGGTGTTCCATAGTTTACTAGTGACGAAAATATCCTCTCGTTTGATAACACCTTCTCTGATTTTTGCTGCGATAGCTGCCCCCACTTCTTTTTCATTTTCGTAAGCTGCGGCACAGTCGACGTGTCGGTATCCAACGTCGATAGCGTCCTTTACGGCTTGCGTCGCTTGGCCAGGCTGAGTCTATCGCATTGATTAACAATGCAAACAAATTACTTATCTTATCGGCTTAACCAGCCGTAATAAATATTTCGAAAAATGACAGCTCCAGTTGCATAACAAATTGAAAGTGATTACATACATGTAGAAAAGCTATAGCCGAATAAGGGGGTCAAATGTACCTAAACCAAATTCAAATTGCAATGGCTCATTTGATAGCTTATAAAAAAACCCCCATCTGTGCAAAGTTTCAGCTTTGTATCTCGACTGAGGTGGGAGTAATGGACAAAAATCAAAAAGCATGTTTTTTCCCAATTTCTACTATCCTATCGCATAACAAATTTTGAAAAAAATTAGAGCCATTTTAGTTATCGGGCCTCATATTATATCATTCAACAAAAAATGTTGAAAAATGCCGATTTTTTGCCTTTGTGTTCTTTTACACTTTATATAATTGGTGTTTGCATGCCAGAAATCTGAGTCAGCCGCAAATTATTTCACAGTTGTATAATGTAGTGTTGTAATGGGAACTGCAAGTTGTAATATACCTTCCAAGTTCCTAGACCCAAAATGGGATACTTGAAACCATTGTAGAACGTCACAATTTGTTGGGACATGTTGAAGCACACTCTGCAGGTATTAATCACATACTACTTGCAATTTGATATTGAAACCTGCTTTTATACTACATATCCAATAATTATCTGTTTATATTTGCTCAATCATTCTGCCACCTCGCGATAAGAAAACTGTGATTTCTTATTATTTTAAGTACCTTACAGACTGTTATTCTTATTAGATTATTCAATCGGGTGGTTAAATATACTATAAAAAGTGAATATACCATGTTTATATTTTAGCGAAATTTATTTTATACCGTCACGTAGAAAATGAACGTACAGAAAAACATAACAAATCTTAAAGCAATACCAATTTTTACACGTTAACGCTTAATTAAATTATTCTCTTAGAAAGGGATGTGGAAGGGAAAGTGGGGACTTTCCTCCAAGCTGAAAAAGAAATGTAATTTTATATTAGAAAGAAGGGCTGGATTATCAAAAAATAACAAGCAAGAATATTGTGATCAAAATATATTTACCCATTCATGTGACAGATTCTGCCATTGCAATCGAAGCTATCAATGTATGTGATATCTTCCGGTGTAAGTTTGAAGTCAAAGACCTCACTATTCTGAGCGATTCGTGATTTTGTAACTGATTTCGGGATTACAATGTGTCCACGGTCAAGCTGCAATAGATTTTCATAAATACATATTATACTTCAATGGTTCAATACGTATCACTAATTCATTCAAAAGCTACATGTATAAACATACCTGATATCTAATCAAAACTTGAGCAGGTGTTTTTTTATATTTCTTTGCCAGTTCCACCAACTTTTTGTCTTCTAACAGTTTTGGGTCATCTGGCTTAGCCCACGGTCTATCGGGAGATCCAAGAGGACTGTAAGCAGTGATAAGAATACCTTTTTCCATGCAGAATTTAGGAAGTTTCTTCTGAGTTAAATATGGATGACATTCAATCTGTAAATATAGAAACATTATAGTATTGCACCATACAATTGCACCTTGAAACAATACCATGCACTTACTTGGTTCGTAACTGGTTTGATGGTACAGATCTTCAACACTCGCTCTATCTGTTCAGAATTAAAGTTGCTGACACCAATGTTCTTTGCAAGCCCCTTAGTTACCAAACTCTCCATAACTTTCCATGTATCCACATAGTCAGCATCGCTCAAAGCAATAGAGTCATCAGCATTCTTTGGGAATAAATCACCACCCTCTTTGTATGCCATTGGCCAATGAATCAAATACAGATCCAAGTATTCAAGACCCAGATCAGACAGAGTCTTCTTCATGGCTGGTTCAACCAAGTCTGGCCTGTGATAGGTATTCCATAATTTACTTGTTATAAAAAGGTCCTGCCTTTTCACAACACCTTCGGATATCTTGGCTTTAAGAGCAGCACCAACTTCTTTCTCATTTCCATATACATGAGCACAATCGATGTGACGGTATCCTATGTCAATGGCATCCTTGACAGCTTGAGTGACTTCTCCAGGTTTGGACTAAAATCAAATATAAAGAATATTGCTCCTGTTCTATTGAAAAATGTTACATAGTTTTTTTTTTATCATGTTTTTACAAACTCTGATGTGTAACTTATCTCTTTATTATATCTGCACTATCATTCACTCAAAATAATCAGTGGAAATACACTCATAATTATATAATATCTTGAAGACAAATGTTATCAAGCATTAATCCATGTTACACATTTTTTTAAATCACTGACCCAAGTAACATGATTCGGTAAGAGACATTAAACTCTAATATAAAGGAGTATGTAGCCAATATTTTATTTAATATTTCTAATGCTTACTATGTATATATTTTGTATAATAATATACAACACGAATGTAAAGAATGTCACAGGTTGTAATTAAGTAAATTGTAACTCTGAGTCGAAGGCACGATTATCGGAAGCATTTATATTCCAGATACGATCAGGCATTAGTTCTAGTAGATTCGAGAATATCAAAAATCATATTGCGTATTAGACAATTTAACGTTCGAAAATTCTAAACCGGCATAAAAATACGTCACTCTAAGTGAAAAAAGTTCAATGACGTAACCATTTTAATTAAAAGTTTTCCAGTTCGGTGGAATAGTAGAGTAATACAGATTTTTTCCACTTTGTTCGTGGAAAACAGGGAATATGTTTGTGAAGTTAATTAGTATATATATCACGCACCTTCCATGTGCCCAAACCCAAAGCCGGCACCTCGTTGCCATTGTAGAATTTCATCATCGGTACGTTCAGGGTCATTTTGACAATTTTTACAGAATTCTTCACTCTAGTTACAGAAATGTTTTATTACGTTCGTGACACTTTTCGAGTCACACCACTATCGAATGCCACAATTCAGAGTACAATGCCGGTAGATTCGCCTAGGAGCTGCTTTTATAAATGTCCTATCGCGGATGATCGCGGGAACATCCCCACCCCTCAGATTTGCAGACCCGTATATCAAAGAACGAAACGTGATCTCTTTTAGAATTTGTCGATCATTACATAAATTTGTTCTTTTCATGTTTTTCTATCAATACTTGTATACTCCTAACTTATAACACAGAAACCGAAATTGTCAGTACTTGTTATCCTATATAAGAAATAGTATTTAAAAATGATGTAAATATTTGGGTAATCTGTTTCCGTTAAAAAATGTTCCATATTGATCACGATACATATTAGAAATGGTAATGATGATATTACTGAATAGTAATACTATCATAGTAAAAATACTGAAGATTGAAAGGAAAGCAAAAACAGGCAAAATTACTTTCAAATACTATTACCATAAAATGAAGTGTTGACTAGAATTTAATAGTTCCTTTCATTTTATTCACTTTTGCACTCCCGTATGTACATATTACGTATAACAATATATATGTTACATATGACATATCGTAAAAAGGAATTAACGTGAGAAATAAAGAAAATTTAACTTAACAGAACAAAAATTTAAGTCTACGAACCTCCCAAAACAAGTACTGCCCTGTGATCGATCTACGCGTGCGTCAAAAATTATTCGCGTGTGTGCGATTGTGTATACTTCTACGTCTTCTAAACAAGAAATTCTTTGTGTTCGTGATCCCGAACGACGGGTAAATTCGTTGTAATAAGAAACAAGCCCTATGGAAAATTACGAAGTCCGTTACAGGAAGGGACAGTTGTGATTCTCTTGATAGTCAACAATGAATGGATGTTATACACCGAGAAAACAACATTGAGTCCCCCTTCGTATGAAACGAAACCTCTTGTGAAAGCGATCCTAAACACGTTATGCTTTTTATATAGTTCCCCATCTACCGTTAGATGAAGTCTCACATAATTTTAAACCCTATTAGAATATTCTTCCAGGAACGATTCAGAAGGAAGTTCTTTTTACTATGAATTCTTATATTAATGAATGAAGTAGGACCTCCATAACCGATGTTGTAAGTATTACTACGTCACTTCAAGTACAGAAGTGGGAATCTATGAGAAAATACTGATATTTATACAGATCTTAATTCTGTTTTCTTATATGATCCTTGTCTTTGTGAAAGCATAAACGTGTAGAAACTTGTGCAATCTGGGTAAAACTGTAATAACGTTGCACTAGTCACTAACAAAGTTCCGTTATTTTTTCGTGTGTCTTCCACAGGCTACCTAATCACGATAAAAATAGGTGGGAGAAATGTTATCGCTCTTGAGTGATTTTGAACCATCGTGATATATCATTGCATAGCATCAAATGTATTATCTGGGTTAGTGGTACAGTCGATGAGAAAATGATACATATTCCATTAGGACGGGGTTATCAATCGGTAACTTCTTGTTTTCAAACGTTACAATTTTTCTTGTAAATCGGACAATAAATAAAACTGATAAACTCGTTACAGGAGTGGTTAGACTCTCGGACATGCGACTCGCAGACGAAGGAATAATGATAGCGTCTTAACGATCCGGTAAGAAAAGTCGTTAAATAATGTCTAGAGTGTTGACATAAATTTTAGACGGAAGTATCTTCTCGTATACTAAAAAAAAAGAAAGGAAGTAATGTGTGTACATATTCATGATGAAATTGTCAGACAATAATGGAAAAAAACATTGTAGCGGTTTCTGTCAGAATTTTCAAAAGAGTTCCATGAATAAATAAATATCAATATCTACGATCACATTCGATACATACGTGTGTATAAAAGTGTACCAATTAATGTTCTACCGGTGCCTCGCGATACCATTATATCGCTGTTTATTTTAATGATGCCAGTATGTGTGTACACATCGCGTAATCGATTATTCTACTCAAACATCTTAAACCAAATATATCGATTTTCTAGGTGTAATCGCGATTCATCATGATAAAATGTGTGTTTTTTTTTAAAGCAATCCGACTCCGATACGACAATATTTTTTACAATACAGGTTCAATTGCACATTCTTGGAATATACTGTAAGTGTTGAAATTTTTACGAAGGAATTCTCGGTTGAGCAGAATACATATAATCGAATTCGACTAGAAATTGCAAAATTTCATAATAATGATGAATCCAGCCTAATGTGAAATGAAGGATAAACTAAAAGAAACCTTTATTCCTCCGATTGCATCGTACAGAAGGTTTGATAAATAATAAGAACAAGCTGACACAACATATCGCTCTATGGACACAAAAAGGAACTTAGACTGAGAAATGATTGTCGTACCCAGAGTCCCGTAGAGCGGAACTTCGTACGGGAGATGACGGATATTGTTTCGATTGGTCGGAGGTCTCGCAGAACGTGGAATTCGTTTGCGGATTTTCGAACCGTATGTCCGAGGTGTCCAAATGTTCGAGTGAGTTCCAGGGTCTGCTGGAAAAACTCTCGTCGGTGTTGTCGGACCAAACGAACTCGGCTGCCCCCTCCGTGTACGAAAGGAACGGTTCCGCGGAGATCTTTCGTTTCTCGATCAAGCTGGACGGATCGTCCTCCTTCGAAAACTCTTCCGCGACCTGTCTCTCGTGTCTCAAGAACGACAACAAAGAGTCGTTTATTCGACTATCGACGGTGCAATTAAACGAGCCATTCTTCTGATTGTCGTCGCTGATTCGTTCGATCGACGTGTTCGCCGCCTCTGTTTCGCTAGGGCTCCATATCAGCGCCTCCGCCTCCTCTGTCCTCTTCGCGATACTACTGAATCTGATGACATCCGGCACGGAGGACACGGAAGTCACTGTTCTCGAGGCAACGAATAAATTAGCCGTTCCCCCTTCCGTGGTCGTGCCACCGAACGAAGCGGATTTAATCGGCGATTTGTCGAACGCGACCACGTTCTTTATAACGTTACCACACTCTCGCACTTTGTCGAGCATTCGAGACTTCCATGATCCGCACAGGCTCGTCACCGACGGCAAATTCTTCTCCGATGACAAGATCTTCTCGTTTACAGGCGACTGAACTCTGTCGGATAGTTTCGAATGGGATCTGGAAAACGGTCAAGGTGGTTCGTTCAACGGCGACCCTAAAGGATCCTCATCGATTCGCGGTGGTTGCTGTTCGGGATGTTCAGGGAATTGGAGCTCACGCTATATGGCGATTTATGGTACTCACGTCTGAACAATATGATTCATGATGTAATCGATCCCTCCCATGCAATTCACCGCAAATAATATCTGGATCGCGCGTGTGACCGTGAACGTGTCGATAACGAAAGCGCCTTCGGAAACGATTAACCGCTCTCACCGTATTATCGTTTGCTTTAAAGGTCGTGTCTGAATTTACCAAACATCGCGGCACCGGTTTGCGTTGCTTTGTGTATGACTTATCGCGGAATGTTATATATCCTTTGTATCCACGAGGCACGAGGAATAACTTGCGTTACAGATGATAGCATTCGAATTATGTCTAGGAGGCAATTTATGATCGCCAAATCGATCGATTTTGGTTATTCCTTCGATAAAATGGTAAAGGGAGGCGGCACTGCGCCCAACACGGTACAAACATCGTAAAGAAATATCGTAATTCCGCGATATGAGGGGACGAGAACGATGGAAAGTGCGATCGAGGGACGCAATTGTCGTCGCTGTACAGCGAAAAATTCCATCCAGACGGCGGCGAATAGGCAGAGTAGAAACAATTTCGCTCGTTGAGTGAATCATTCTGAGAAAGGGTCCGCGCCCACATCTTTTAGATCCATTGAACTTGAAGGATATTAGGTGTAGAATTCTCAGCGAGCATAAATCGCGGTACCAGTGCGTGTAGACTTGTGTCAGTATGCAGGACGGTCCGTTACTATAATATTCATGATTTTCATCTCATTATCAGTGGTATCTCCGATACGGACCACCTGTTTATACTGCAGTTCCAGAGAACAGTTGAACATCGATAATAAATCAGGTATAGAATCGGGTGTCAGGACTATCAAATCAAAGAAAGACTAGTTTCATTCGATACGAAAATATATTTTATTTTTACTATCGCGCACTCAACATTATTTAGATTCCCATAAACTCTTGCACTCCCCTTTCGTACTCGTCTAATATGAATTACATTCATTTGTTCGCTGTTCTTTCAGAATCAATAATAGAAGGACAATTATGTACATAAGAGTATAGTGACCTTCCAGTTTTGCTCCACTTCGTTTAATCGTATTTCCGCAACCCTGTCGCCAGTCAATTACGGAAAACTATCTGCTGTTGGCGTTACGAACGGTTCCCGGAAAGTAACCTTCCCTATATAGCTTCCGGAATGGATCGTTAGAATATCGATCGGTCATTCGTGACTATTAGACTGCGAAGGTTCGTGCATTTACAGAATTATACGCGCGTTTAAAGCATGATGAATTGAAAACTTTCAACGAAAGATTCGGTGCGTTTATTTTACTTTCAAATGAACAAACTCATTAACAATTCCCCCCGCGCTATTTAACCAAGGGGGCAACCAAAAATTTGATAGCCCTGGCTCACAAAAAATCTTAAACTGACTCGATGAAATTACATTTTTTTTCATTATCGTGATAATGAACGTTGAGAATGACAATTTGCATAAACATCCGCAGTCTAATAACGATACAATGAACCAGTCGACGTGAATTACGAAACAAAGGTTACACCTGGCGGCCTGTGTTATCTGTTCAGATCGTATTACGAAAGGAAACAAAACTGTTCCTTATTAGAAGAAGTACACACTTGCGATCGATGCAAACATGAATGAGCACCATTCAAGGCGACTCGGCTCGTTACGTTTGCGCCTTTATGTATGATATCACTCGAAACGGAGAGTCCGAAATTTTCCATGGCGTTCAATAAACTTAATTGACTAGATGCGAGGGTCAAACGAGTGCCGAATTACGGCGTGAGATTATGTAAGTTTAACGGAGGGTTATATGCCTTACTATTAATTTTGTACTGGATATTTGACGGGCTGTTTCCTGCTGGTAGGCGTCCTTACCGTGAAACATTTATTGCTCGAACGGATAGTGCTTGTGAGCCTTGGCGCTAGAAACATAAGGAAGACGATATGAGTTACTTGAAGTTAAATTTGAATTTATATCAACGAACAATTTGGATAATTACTCGCCGAATCGCGCCACGCGTTGGCCATTACCGATGGTCGCTATGGCCGCCATTTCCTCGGCCGTCAAGGAAAAATCGATTATGTCGATATTCTCTTTCAATCGGCTGGGTGTTACGGTTTTCGGAATGATCGCGATACCTTTCTGCAACTGGAACGTTTTAAAGAAAATGAAAATTACGCTGTGCCAAAAAGATCTGGGTCAGCTGATAAAGAGGTGTTTTGTCTGTCGATAGCAGCCATTTCGGACGCAATGTCAAAAACAAGAAAAAAAATTTGCATAATATCTCTGGCGAGCGGATAAAAGAATATAAGTAAGAATTATTAGTTCTATTATTATTCCTTTTTTTTTTTTAAATTATGGTTGATCATTTTGATAAAAATTTAACTTATACTTTTCTGCTCGTCCACCAGACATATATCTTATGACCTGATTTCGATTCCGAGCTGTAATCACTTGACGCGTTCGATCGATTTCCACCAACGTATCTTTTCACAATTCCATAATGCTTCGCGGATTATCAACTCTATTCGCTGAAGTGCTCGATGGAATCAGATGTATATACCGATTGCCTAAACCGAGGTCGCCTAACTTTAGCTGCCGTCAACGACGAAAACACTCCGTAGAATTGCTCACCAGATAACGCAAAGCAATTTGTGGGCTAGTCTTGTTGTACTTTTTCGAAAGTTCCACGATTTTCGGATGATCCAAGTTGTTCGGTATTGCGGATCGGTTTCCAGGCTGTCCCAACGGCGAATAACCGGTCACCGTGATGTTGTTTTTAGCGCAGAATTCGATTAACGGTGTCTGATTCATGTTCACGTTGACTTCGATCTACAATTAAATATCTCCCATTACGATGTATCGAAATCAATAGACAGATATCGAACGGAACACGATCGTTGTTACCTGATTGTTTACAGGTAAAGTTTTAGCTGCCCCGAGCAGACGTGTGATTTGTTCGACGTTGAAATTGCTAATACCGATACTCTTTGCCAATCCTAATTTTACACACTCCTCCATTCCTCTCCATGTATCCAAATAATCGGTATCCGACATTATAAGAGCACCATTCGCATCTCTGGGCATCAGGTCACCGCCTTCCTAAGGAATAACTAGTAAACCACTAGCATACACGCGCCACAAAAGTGATCTAAACCCACGCAAATTAATTGCTGAGACTTACCTGGAATGCAAACGGCCAGTGTATCAAGTATAGATCCACATAAGTCAAGCCAAGGTTCTCCAAGGACATTTTACATGCTGGTACAACGCTCTCCTCCTTATGGAAATTGTTCCAAAGCTACAAACGACAGAAAGCACAATTTTATTCTTTATGTACAAGGGTGTACCATGACATATGAGGCCCACTTGACTACGGGCGAGAAACACAAAAACAATGAAAAACAAAGTTTATATTAACAAGTGTCTTATTTGAGTTCTCCAATTACATCCTCTTTTATACTTGAATAATATTTATTACGATTAAATTCAATTATTATTTTATTTTTAATCAGTCACAGTCCTCGATAGAAAATATACATTTCTATTTAATCCTTGCTTCTATAAAATTCACTTGAGAAATCTGAATTTTCACAAACATCCGCTGACTAGTCAATTAGAGCATATATTAACAGGAAAGTTTTAAAATTATTTTTGTTACCACAATTTCATTATTTTTGTAATTACATTTAGATCCAAGACACTTTATCTTCGTGCAAAGATTCATAATGTAAGTAATTAAATCACCTTGGTTGTGATGAAGAGATCCTCTCTCTTCACGGTACCGTCCTTAATTTTCATTTGAACCGCCGCACCGATTTCTTTTTCATTCTGATAGTAATACGCCGTGTCAATGTGACGGTAACCAACATTTATTGCCTCTATCACGGCTTTCTCCACCTCTCCAGAACGGGACTAACGAATGAAACATGTAATTAAATATTAATATTTGCGTTTCAGTACAATGTTTAGGCCTTTACACAGTCCAGAAACGTTCAAATTAACCGCACGGAACGTCACGTGATACGGTGCCAGAGAAATGTGCGTGAACAAAGACTTTTTTTATTCGGGAGATAGATTAGAAAGATTATTTTTATCAAACAGACTTTTAGACGTCCAATTAATTATGTTTTATAGGGTGACATGGATGTTTACTAACCTGATATGTGCCCAAGCCAATAACTGGTATCTTATGTCCATTGGAAAACGTAAGATTTGGTATTTGCGCCATTATTAATGAATGAAGGCAATTTTTAAAGACACGGAGAAACAATATGTTTAGGCTTTTCTGTTGTGCCTTGAAATTTAGACACAAAAATCCACGATATTCTAGAGACTAACTGCGGGAAGTCTATCGTGCCACGTCTATTTCATAGTATTCATCATAAACATTACGTAACAACCATGACGATGCGAACGATGTTAGATAGCCAGGATTAGAAATCTACTGATAGATATTGCACAATAGAATTTCGACACTGCGCCGCGTTATCCTAAAGTTGTTTGCATTAACAATCCTGAATATGTTAACAAATGGATACACCTTTTATTAATATTTACAAACTAAAGTAAAAGTGGAATGTCAGTAGTCACGAGATTTTTGCAACAATGTTTTCTAAACGTAATAAAATGATTTATTAATAAAAACAGCAGTTACAATTTTTAGTATATTGCAATGTAATTACATAATAATTTGCGTTAAATGGTATTTGAGTCTTATAATTTGAATGCCTTTTTAGAATTCTATATTGAATGGATAGTCCTTGTGCTTCATGAACCTAAATAGAATAATTTAGGTAATAATGGAAATGTTTAGTGCTGAGATAACTAATTTTATATATTCTTGGATAATAAAACTTACAGTTCAGGAGCGACTACTCGCATTCCACGGTCGAGTGCGTCTATCGATGCAATTTCTTCTGGTGTCAGTTTAAAATCAAAGATACTAATATTCTGCTCTATACGTTCCTTTGAACTGGATTTTGGTATAGGGATCGTACCGATGTCAATCTGTAGCGGGAAATACGTTAAATATGTCTTGTATAATAACCAACCTACTTAGAATCCTTTATGGCATACTAATGTTTAGTTTACCAAATATCGCAAAATGATTTGGGCAGGCGTTTTGCCATATTTTTTGCCAAGTTTAAGTATTTCCGGTGACTCGAGGGCCGAAACTTGGGGTTCATCGGGTTTTGCCCAAGGTCGCAAAGGTGAACCAAATGGACTATAAGCTGTGATAGCTATGCCACGCTCGGCGCAAAATTTTTGTAGCTTCTTTTGGTTCAACCTCGGGTGGCATTCGATTTGATTCATTACTGGCTTGATTGTGGCCACTGATAAGACACGTTGAATTTGCTGGGAATTGAAATTGCTGAGACCGATACTCTTTGTTAGTCCTAACTTCACGCATTCCTCCATACCACGCCAGGTGTCCAGATAATCCTCATCTCCGCATAAAGGATTTCCATCCTTATCTACTGGCCACAGACAATCTGCATTTCCCTAATACAACAAACAGCTAACAAACATAATCTTTTAATATGTATTCTTGGTTTAATTTTCTGAACTTACAGTAAAAGCCATAGGCCAGTGAACCAGGTAAAGATCCACATAGTCCAAACCAAAGTTTTTAACTGACTTTATGCATGCTGGCACTACATCTTCCCTCTTGTGGAATACATTCCATAACTGCAAGCAAAACCATTTTGAATGTACTATGGTTAAATCAAGTTTGAGCCTAGATATACACAAACATATTTTTAGTTAGAACATTTATCTTGTTTTGAAAAACATGTATGTATGTTTCATTTTCTAACTAATAGTGCACACAACTATTCATATAAAGAGCTTACCGATTTTATGCTTAATCTCAGGATAGCAAAAAGTTTATTTTTGTTGGAGACAAAAAGTTTTTAATAGAATGAACAAATTTCTGTTTGGTTCTAGTTTTTATAAATTAATTAATAAAAGTCTATATTTGCATAACATCCACAGTCTATTTAAATATATATAACATGGAAACATTTGGATGCCAGTTTTATAGGCGAGCAACTTTTTAATAACGATAACACTTTGTGCATGAAGTTACCTTTGTTGTAATGAATAAATCTTCTCTCTTAACGACGCCCTCGTCAATTTTTTCACGTATAGCTTTACCGATTTCTTTTTCGTTACCATAAATGAAAGCACAATCGAAATGACGGTATCCGGCATCCACTGCATCTCGTATGGCCTGCTCGACAGAACTTGGATCGTCCTTTAAATTAAAATTATTACTGTTAAAAATACAGATATTTTCGTAACGTATTACATTACAATATACTTACTCCTCCTTGCCAAGTGCCGAGCCCTAACACGGGTATTTTTTGTACATTACTTAAAGTAATCGTTGGTGCAGCCATCATTACAATTTTTTAATAATGCGCGATTTGTCACTGTCACTCGCTTGAGTGTGCTGAAACAAGTATGTATACCATTCTACCGTTACGTAAGTATATAATATCGTATGCTAGATGATCCCCCCACTTAATAAATTCTGTCAGGTAGTTGTTATCTCATTATTTTGATTCAATTTATCCTGTCATTATCGTGAAACGTTATAAAAATATGGTGATATCAAACAGCAAAATACTTATCCAGTTACCGCGATAGTAGTCAATGTTTTATTCCATGTTCAAAGTACAACAATACGGGACTCCGAATAAATATGAGTCTGCTTCATATAAAAAACTTTCAAGATAAGAAAAAAATAACGAACAACTTTCAAGTACATATAATATGCATATTCATATTTACAATAGGATTAGAGTTACAAAGAATGTGTTACAATTAGAGTCAGGTGATAGAGATAAATACATTCATACCGAATCCAAGTATCTTCACTACTTAAATGTAAAAAAATACATGAACCTGTATTATCAGTAAAAATATGTTACTTTATTTTCTGCATATGATTCATGCAGATTCTACGTTTAAAACAGTTTTTACATCTTCACTATTATCTGCCATATGCTGCCTCTCCTTTTTAGCATTTTTATTCTGATTTCTTATCTTTTTTGAGTCCTTCCCGCCAGTTTCTAAATCAATTATTGTTTTTGCACGTGTACCAGGCCCCCAGTTGACAGTAGGATTATGCTGAAACCGGGTGAGACGTTTCTGCCTAGAAGCTGGATTAGCCAGAGGATGTATATCAAACGAAATGTTTGTAGTAATTGGTGTGTTCAATATGTTTAAGGCAGAACTGTCATTTGGCAATTTATCTCGTTTTATGGGACGATCCTTTGCCCATGTCCGTACAATATCCCATATTACTTCATTTGGTGCATCCGTTTTTATGGATGTTTTATTTGCATGCGAATATGACACATTATATCCTGCATTCAACAATGCAGACCTGAACATTACCATTGATGGTGTATGACATTTAACAACAGACATTAAACGATCCAACGTATAATATAATGGAATATCTAATTCTTCATGAATAACATTTAAAACTCCTTGTATCCTTTTCATAGTTTTCAATGTCATAATATTTAAATGACATAAAAGTGTAGAGACAAATTCTTGGTCATGCAAGGCACCCAGCCATATAGGTCCTCCAGCAAGTTGTTTGTGTTTACAGACTTTACAGAGCTGATCCACGCAAGGCGAGGGTGTAATTTTATAAATTCCAGAGGGCTTTCTAACGCATAATGGTTGAGTATTGAGACTTTCGCAGCCTGTACATTGATATACCATTCCTATGTTGATAGTATTTTCTTTGCATTTAATTTGACTGGAAAATACTTTCACAAATACTCTGATGTAAAAATCAGCACTTACAGAAAGCACTGGTATTATGTATCTTCCATAGCGAGCTGCATGGGAAGCAATATTTTGCAATAAAATACGTAATGCTATTTCATGACATGCTTTAGACTTCAAGGAAATGGCTCCGTATTTCAGATAACAAGTTTCAGGACAATTTCCAGCTAGCACAGCCATATCTGTGGCTGTAACTATAAGCAATCCACCGTCAGATACACATTGAACAGCCCCATCCAAGAATATTGTCGGACAACCATATGGATCCAAGTCTACAACATCAAAACGTTCTCTTCTACTCTGATACATCAATAATGTTGCATCTTCATGACTTGGTTTAATAAGGTGTTCTATTCCATTGTGTTCTATGTTTCTTTTAATGCTTTCTACTGCTTTTGCAGAGATATCATTGGCTACAATTTGTTTTATACCTTGTACTTCTTTAGCATAGCGTATGCTCCTCAAACCTGTTGCAGATAAAGCTTCTAATATAGTTATTCCATCCTGTTTCATTAGACCGTTCTTTGATACTTCTTTATTCCTGGTTTTGGCATAGATCATTAACACTGCTACACTAAGATCTCTATTAAATTCTTGTACAGGATTATAAAACACATTCCTATTGCTCACGAGAATTTCTGCTTCTCCTTCTTTTAATGTTATATCCTCTAATTTTGGTTTTTTTGTGCATTGTTTATTGTCCATATTAAATACAAATGCTTTAGATAAATGTTTTGCTTGGCGATAATACGTAAACTGCCCTTGAAAACCAAACTAATCAATTTGATGTCTATTTACTAAATTGTTTACAAGTATCACGTGCAAAGACGTACTTTTTGTCCGAATAACGTTTTCTATAATCGTATTATTGTAGGCATATACCTTTAATAAATAAAGCTTGATTTAACATTCTGTGTTCTTCTGTAATTAGTATTATTTAAGAATGTTGAGAATAAAACATACAAATCGTAAAATGTATTTATGCAAACATAACCATTAGACATATGACGCGACCAAAATACATAAGTACTTAAAAATTTAACGGTTTCAGAATGAGTAGAATTCTTTTAACAAAGTTGCAAGCCAAGGAAACTGACAACTCAAAATGAAAAAAAAACGTCAACTCGTTAAATAAATTCTTTGAACAAATTTTCAAAGAAAGTAATGTATGGATAATTTAAATATATTTATTTAGACATAGGTATATTTAAATTGTATCCACAACAAGATAGACATCATTTAACACAAAAATTACTATGTTAAAGCAGAACAAATTTTTTACTTACAATATACTCAGTGTTTTGCTCTGTTCCTCTAAGTATTTAAATTATACAAGTAAATGATTCCCCCCAAAAAATCTATCTAAATATAAAAATTTCCAAAATAATGTCTCTAAAAAACATTCGGTACAGAAAATTTTAACTGCAATACGTATCTGACGTTATCTTAGCGATATCATATTCCAGGAAAAGATTATTGTAAAGATGGGAAAGAAAAAAACTACCTCCAAAATACATTATCAGTTATCAGAATGATATCTCTCTGGTAACTTTTTTAGATATCTGAACAGTGATTTTCTTCAGATGTCTTACACGGGTCTGACGGGCACTTGCGGGCACTTACGGGTCTTTTACTGTCTTTTACGGATATCTGCAGATAACTCTGGTTAACTGGGATGAATGTTTTAGACGTGGAACAAGTGGAACATAAATATATACATGCATCCATTCTGCTTGACACTGTGAGTTATAGAATTGATACACAATGAATATTTGTTTTAAACTAGAATTAAAAATTATTACCATTCTAAAGATCCCCATGTTACGTTCTTTGTTTGTTTTGAAAATTCACTAGACGGGGAATAACCGTTCCAAGTTCCACATGATTATACCAGATTATACGAAGGGAGAGTCAGAAAGAGTCATCATTCCGTCATTGTTGTAAATGTTTTTCTTCAAAAATCTTCAATACTGTATGTAATAATTTCTACCTGCATAACTTAAAAGGAAATACATTTAGAAGAGGTCAAGTAAGAATAATTTCTATAAATTTTCTTTTATTATTACAGTTACATAGATGGCGAGTTTTATTTATTTATAGCCTACTTCTTTGTTTAAAGTTCAGCGTAGTAGAAATGTAATCTTAGTTAAAGATAAGCAATCTAATTGTAACATATGTAAGTACTGTGTTAGTGTTTTCAGTAAAATGTATCATGTTTACAGGTAAATTCTTTTCTATATCACTTTAGACTGTGTTTCTTCAAAGTATTACAAGAATGGAGGTACAGGGTCCACGTCTTGCACCTTTATCTGATATTGGTAACATGGCTGAGAATTGGCAAGAATGGAAAAAAAGTTTTCAAGTATATTTGAAAGAAAATGATTGTAATACAAAGTCACAAGATTTAAAAGTATATATTCTGAAAGAAAATATAGGAAAAGTTGGACTGAATGTTATACAGAACATAATTTTAAAAAACCCAAAAGATGGCAATGATATGAATATTTTATTAGAAAAACTTGATGATCACTTTAAACCTCGTGAATCTGAAGTTAAAATACGATACAACTTTTTTAAAAGATCCCAAAGAAAAAATGAATCTATTGAAACTTATATTGAAGTATTGCAGGTAGTTTATACTTGAACATTTCTGTATATTCTTCTTAAGTTATTCAATATTTATATTTTTATTTTATTTTTTAGGAAATAGCAAAAAAATGTAATTTTGGACACTTGACAAACAGTCTTATTAGGGACAAAGTAATTTTAAATATAAAGGATGAAGAACTTCTGAAAGTACTGATGACAATAGAATACCTTGATTTGTTCAAATTAGTGGTTCATTATAATTTGTATAATAAAAGAAAAAATAGTGAGACTTCTACGAAAGATATGGCTTCTGTTAATAATGCTCAAGTTAAGAATATTGATAATGAAAATGCAAAGGCAACTGAAACAAAAAAACAATCAGAGGAGATAAATAAAATAAGCAGGACTGAAGGTCATAACAAAAAGATACACTCTTACAGTAAAAATAATAATAATCAGGTTACAAATACTGTGGATAAAAGTTGTAAGTCAAATAGTGCACAATTTAGGAAAAATTGTTGGAAATGCGATCAAAAACATCCTCTGAGATGTTGTCCTGCTTGGGGATTCAAATGTGGAAAGTGTGGTGATCATAATCATTATACTCAATGTTGTAGAATGTACGTTCCAAAAAATGAAGAAAAAAACATGAATGTATGTAGTATAATTTTTTTTATTTGTTTATGCTCAAAATAATCATATTTTTTGTTCATTTTATTATTTTTACCCTTATATTGTACTTTCTATTAATTTCAGACAAACATAAATGCAAACATCCAAATGAAACAGAAAGAAGATCCGAAGGTAAAAGAAAAATATTTATATCATTGTAATAAATATTTGTTGTGTTTTTTCTGAATTCTTATTTTTTTTTTCATTAGCTTAGCTCTGCATATTATAACAATGTAAGATCACCTGCTCAGCCTTCGTATTTTGCAACATCAAATTTGGTATTGTATTTTATAATATTTCAAACTAAGTTGAAAATTAATAAAACACCTATTTTTATAGTGTCCTACTCCTACTGCACCACCACTTCATGAAGTTGAGAATGAATTATATCCAAACTTAAAATATATGAAGAATTCAAAAGGCATATCGGTATGCTTTTATTTATCTTTACAGGGAAATGATATTATTTATTACAAACAAATAAAAAGGTAATATTAATATGTTTAACATTTTTGTAGCATTTAAATGTATTAGAAACTCGAGTGTCAAAAGAAAAGTTTCAGAAGAATGAAGCACCACAGGTAATTTATTTTCCAATATTGCATAATAACTCTTGAATGTTGTTAAATATTTCAATTTCATATTGATTAAAATGATAAAATTCATTAATTTCTACACACGTACAGCTTCCGAAAGTTCAAGTAGAACAGTACAATCGTGAAGTACAAAACAGTGAAACTGTGAAGGTTGAAGACCATAAGAACCACTTCACAGCCCGAACCCCAAAAAATGACTCATGCAGAATAGCATAGAAGTAGGTATCGCGTATCATTGAAGGCAAAGATGAAATGTTAATTTGGTTGTTTATATTTTAAGTTGTACATTTGACAATAGAATGAAGAAACAAAATATACGTCTATAACTATATATATCGACAACAGTAAATAAATTTTAACTTTGATATACAACATACAACGTTGTTACATTGGTCCCTAAATTAAATTAAAATCGATCACTACGAACATTAAAAAAAAAAACAAATGGCACGTTACATGAATGTTATGTATCCTTTTTTCATTATTTATGGTCAATTTCAAAAAGTTAACTAAAACTACATGCGTATAGTTTTACCTTTCCGCTCGTCACTAATTATGGATAAAATTAATGAATACATTTATTATTCACATTTTAAGCAGATAATGTCGTACAACAGTGCTTAATTGACATATACAATTTGTTAACAAATTAAATAAATAAAGCACTAATCTCTTTGGTATGAGACTCACATGATAATTGCGATTAAAAAGTGTTGTATAATGTTTTATAAAAGTACATTATATTTTTCCTATTACATGATATAGTGCCTTATAACTGACTCATTTAGTTTCATTAGAATTTCTTACTCCATTCATAATAATATGTCATGGTATTGTACAGCAATAAAATACATTGTAATACATTATATTTAATCGTGCATCCAATTACTTTCTATCTATGGAATTGATGTTTCACTGTTTTTTTATATGGAAAAACTTATAGAATTATGACCCATTGTTTTAAATAAATTAACATATACAAGATTATGCATATCTTGTCGTCGATTGATGTAAAAAGCATAAATCCTTAATCTTAGTCTACTAAATCACAATGAATCAGTAATGCTTAGGCCATATTTGCATGTTGCCAATGTTGGTTTTATAAAGAAGAATTAAAAAGTGTTAACAATATTGTAAACTTTAGAAATAGCTCTTTCCAATTTTCTATACGAATATAGTAAAACAGTAGAAAATACTAATAACAATAGTAGTAAAAATCGTTCTAAAAGATGTTATTGTAGAGAAAATGGTGTAAACTCCTAATATCAAAATTTATAGAAATACGCAGTAAAAATGGTAATATCCGCTTCTAATTATTATATTATGCATAGATTATATTTGTATCTCGTGACAAATAGAAAGTCTTTTATAGATGAAAGACTTTCATTTCAATGGCATTAGTTTTTTAAATACGTGCAATAACGTAATTGAATATTTAAGTATAGGGGGAAATTGAAAGCCTATGTTTTGTTAATATATTTATAAAATATATGAAGATAAGATATGAAGATGTGCTTCCAAGAACAATCATATCTTTATCACCAGTCCATTAGTGATGTATATGTATAGTTTGTTCAGAAGCACTACAATTGGATGGAATAAAAGCAAAAGTATACAATATATTACCGTAGAGTGTTGGTAAATTAATATTTGTGTATAGAGAAGGACATGTAATCCTACATAATTCACTGATTACTAGTAGTATTAGTGGACACTTTTTTTGCTTGTACATGAAACAATGATATAGAAAAAATGTAAATGGTAACTTTCTACCTTCGTATTATGAAACTACAGAGGAGGTATAGGACAGACCTAACACTGGGGATTTGTGTTACGTATTCTGCTGTACTGATAATGGTTAAAAAAAAATTGTAGTCCTGCCACGTACTCTCCATTAAGAACAGTGGCGCTGGAACCTACATTAACCTCAGCCACTGAATTTGGTGAAAAATATTTCAAATATACTATATATTGAAATATAAACGTGTTGTATCGGTTCTTTCTGATAAAATAAAAATATATCTTTTACTAAATTTCATTCGATTTCTTACCGTTAATAGCGTTGTAAATCTTAGTCCATTCTGTATCCATAACAGAAGGTAGCTATAGAGTCCCTGTAACCGTGTGACCAAAAAGTACGTTGAATTTCAGGTCTATTCTACGCGTTGTTTTGGGGGTAAAACGTTTCTATAAATATTATTACACGCAATTCTTTCAGTATACTGGCAAGATAAGCGATCATGAAAAACTCTGTGTCAAGTTACGGACGGATCTTGACTAAAGTTATCTACATCACCAGTAGGAAGCATCAGCTTGTTCAAACTGTAAGGGGGTCTTTTTGGTTTCGGTGGAGGCGTAGGTGGCCTCGTCTGAACGTCAAGATCGTCTGTTGGTGTTGGTAGCTTGTTTTTCGACCAATGCCCTAGAGGTCTATTCGAATTATTTAAACTACCTGTCCCACAATGGGAAGCGGGTAATTCTTCCGGAAGATTACAGTAATCGGCTTCGCGCGTTTTCACAGGCAATGGCGGCGGGGGATCGTCCTCAGACGCTGTGCTGTCCGTCGTACCAATACTATCTCTGTTTCCTTTTCCTAAACTATTCGAATCCATTCCGTTATTTAGATTCCTTAAATAATGTTGTGATTGTCCAGATAACCGATTGCTTATTCTTCTCTCCTTTTCTACCTCTGACCTCAACGGGCGTTTAGGTGTTAGCTGTACATAAAAATACCAAATACACTTATTGATTTATTGTACAGTGTCGCTGTGTAGTAGAACAAATGACAGAACACGTAAATTACCTCTTGACGAAGTTCGAATATTGGCGTAGTAGGAAAACTGGATATCAGTGGGGTGATAGGAGTTGATGTACTTTGCGACACTTCCGTCGTGGTATACCATTGGCTAGTTGGTTGATCGTTCTTTGTCGACGCAACTGAATCACTTTTCCGTGAACTCCTTCGCTTTGAATCCTTTTTTTTATTCGTCCCTGGACTTGGACTTCCTAATGCCTTCTGAAGGGAGGCCGTCGATAAGATGTGTGAACGTATCGATGCGTTTCTGTGTGATAATGATATGAGCTACATATAAGATGTAAATTTCGTATTTCACATGTTTATCAATAGAAAGTTTAAATGTCTAGTGTCGTTAACGCTAGTGTTATACTAATAATGTACTATTTACCTATTTAGTAGAATAACCAGTTGTTATGGAAGATGTTTAATCCAGGGACAAACATGATGACATAACAAATGATATAAAAAAGTATCATGCAAATAGAGAATATATGAGAAGAAAAATATAAGTAAAATCAACATATATGTACATATGCGGCGTTAATACTTCACTTCTTGTTTATAGCATAAAAGTAATAATGTACATTGATAAAAAGAAAAAAATTAATTACGATCAACGAGTAAACTAAAAATAATATATACATATAACCAATATATTCGCCACAGTATGTTAAAACAATTAAGCAAAACACCATAAAAAATTATTCGGACATGCATATTCACATGTGTACATATACAAAAAATGCTAGGTGCGAAGAAAGGATAATAGGATACTGTGCTTATCAGGTCCAACAGCGAAATTCCTGAAATCATATATAAATTGTTCTAATACCCATTCTTGGAACAGATCAAACTTTGAATGATGTTAATAAGATAAGTAACAGACGGTATGCGTTGTCGGTAGATAATGGAATAGTCAGAACTGTTTAAGGAGTAATAAAAGATGAAAGTGAAGAAATGTACATTAACCGTCGGACGGCGGAATGACTGACAGTCAGGCAAATGATAACATGTAGTACGGGTCAAAATTGACCCAGCTCCGCCATCGAACGGTTAAGTATTACTAAAGCTATTCTTACGCGTCACTGTGACGTCTTTACCTTGATAAACTGACGTTTTGAACACTGGTTGCGGGTGTATTGTTGTTAAAATTGAATGATGCGAGCGACTTAAACGTTGCAACTTGGGATCTTGTGAGAGAGGATACCCTGGAGTGAGTTCCACAGCTGAACGAGATAATTACAAAGTAACCACATAACTTTATAACAACAGACAAGGAAAAACTAATACAGAGAGAATCACGAGAAGTTAGATCTTCACAACAATATCAACGTTGGATGTGAAAACAGAAAAATGCACATATAAGAAGTAAATTTCTAAATTTAAGATTATATTATGGTACGCAGTTAACATTAAGTATATAAGACTTATGCATTTTGTTTTACTTTCAAGCCCATCGAAAATATCCATCCGTTCTCTATCTCGTGGCACGGTCTTATGTCTTTCCTTTAATTGTGCATGATGTACGTATGTACATACTCTAACTTTATGATAATCTTTGTATTTACATGCAGTTCAGTATTCACAATATAACATAAAGATTATTTTAAAACACGTATGATTATAATCCCATACCAAAGCCAACTTAATTTAATGATCACAGTGGTACGAATTAAACGGAACTAATGTTAGTGTGAATAATTGCAATATTTAACAGCAGACAATAGTTACGAGTATCGAATATAAATATTACTCACTCTGAGTTCATTATGTTTGATTCAGATAAACGGTGACTGTCCCCTCTCGATGTCTGCGGTCTTCTCATGGTAACAGTGTGAGTGAAACTTTCGATTTGCAAATCGCATGTCTGCGGCAATAGTGAATTTGAGTTTAAAATATGATACTTTTCTTGAAACGAACAGTAATAACTTCCGTGACTTACCCTCTTGCCGTATTTTGCTTCGACTTGGCTTCGCATGGATGCAAAACACTGCTCCAAACGCTGATGGAATGGCGACAATTCAGAAGGAGCACGTGCTTTATGTAATTGTAAACCAACGCCCAATAACGGTATTTGTTCAGCAATTAATCCCTCTAACTTGAGAAGATCCGAACTCTCTTCCGGGCGAGAATTGCGGTACTCGGCGTTAAGGAAAGCTTTCTCGTAATTATCTATGCCACCCATTACCGCTGGGTCCAGTATGCCATTCAGTTTCATACTAAGAGGATTCAACGGAAGATTGTGATCAGCTTTATGAGCTATAATCAAATCTCTTAGCGCGGTATTCGTAGCCTCCATCGTTTCTATTGCATTACGAAGAGGACTGACTAAGTAGGTTTCACTGGATGTAACGGGGAAGCATCTGAGAATGCCTGGTAAGGGATGACTTGTAACTAGTACTGTCCTTTCTAACCATAGCGAGGCGAATTCATTATTGCTAACGGTGCCTGTCTCCTTTTCTTTGTCACCAGAAATTCCTATAGCTGAAATTACATCCTTCTTCGGTGCTGGTCTCGAAAACCGAAAACGTTGGACATCATTCACTCGATGATACCTTAAACGTAAGTACCGAATAAAAACTACGATGTAGAAAATTTATAATGTTGCGAAATTATGGTATATTATTAAACCGCAGGTAACTTGTGACACTAAAATCCCTCTCCTGTTGTGTACAACACAAATTCTCATAACATATTAAGTCCCTATATTTCACCCGTGGTTAGGATCTTATTTCTACCTTAGAACTGCTTCCGCTGTTATGGGCTTTCCACTGAATCGGTTCCTTTTCTCATCCATTAAAGGATCTACTTTGTTAATCTGTACATACTGATGATTAGACTCTAGTATCTCCGGAGTGGGAGGTGATAACTTGTTCATTTGTTCGGCGTCTGGTAGTTGATTTAATGTCCGCGAACAGAAATCGCTAAGCCGCTCATACTCTTTTCCACGGTAAATGAATACCTGCGACAAGTAGATCCCTACGTTAACTGTTTTTCAACGATAAACAGTCCGTTAAAATACCTTGTTTTGTAAAAACGCGGGATGTCCTCGGCCGTAGTACGCCACTCTAAAATATTCTGGCTCTGGTCGTAATTGTTTCACTATAGAATCATAAAACTTGGCCATACGTTGTAACAGCACAGATAGTTGTAGATAATCAAACGTCTCCTCTTCATACTGCGCGACTAATTCTTTACACTCGGCAAGCGCGCATTCCCACATTTTACCCTTATCAAAATAGTCGATCATGTCATTGTACAATGCTTCTTTCAATTCACGATGCGTTTGACACAATAGGTATCTATTTTAAAAGAAGAGAATTGTAAATTAAATTGTTAAATTGTCTATTTCTATATTATTACCTGTGTGATTTTAATAGAGGCGGTAATGGTTGATCACTCCATGCTAATAATTGACTATGTAGTTTCAGAGAGTATGCTGCTTCGGTATAATTATCACACTCCAGATGCAACTCGCAAAGCTTATTTACATATCTATAAGATTAAAATGTAATGTCAGTAAAAATATTCTTAAAATTCTGCAGAATATTGATAACACTCATACCTGATATACATTTCCTTTCTATTTATCTCGGAATAAAATTCTAATAAGTTTACGATACACAACATCCTATGTTCCTGTGACTCTGCGTGAATAATATCGCGGTACTGTAATAAACGTTCCATGAGTTTAGCTATTGTATCAACGAATCGTAATCCTTGTTCTCGCATAGTCGAGTGTTTTTCGCAAAGATTACCCATTACTTGAATCCAGAGAGAACGAAACTGTTCATCTCCTCTACCGCCCTCGACCTAAGTAGAATATTATGTACATATATGTTACATAGTCAATCCATAGAAAAAAAATCACAATATTTTTATCGCATCCTACCAAAATATCCAATTTTGCAATCATTTCATTTTCGTATTCTGTGAAATTAGCTTTTATATGAGCAGGGTCCCTTTTCGTGTCGCCATATCCTTCAACAATTCGTGAACTATAAAATTCACATTGCATCATATCAAAAAATATAGGTATGGTTGCCTTTCTCAATTCGCTTTCCGGAATTAACGCCATTTCTAATATAGCCCCTACCAGAGCAGGGACGAACAATATTTTATGTTGTCCCAGATTGAACCACATTGAGCGTATCTCGAAAGCTGTTTCTCTGTAACGAAAGAACATTCTGAATGTCTTCCATAATAATGTAACAATTTAATAGTTTCGTTGAAATAATTATAACGTGAAAATGTACCTGCGCATATCATTGTAACGTAGGACAATTCGATTGCGTTTCGATGACGTGAATGTTTCCAACTGCAAAGCAGGCTGGGTCAGGAATGCAATTGCACAATGAAAAAAATTTGACCAAGCCTGCTGTTCGAAATCAGTGAAGAAATAATCCCTGATAGTACCAGAGAAATAACGTAACGACTTCAAAATTATGCTGTTCTGAAGCATAATCATATCACACCAGTCACCTGCGAACACGCTCTTCGAAACTAAATCTTTGAACACCAACAATATTTCCATGAGAAAATCAAGCAAATCAAACTTCGTTCCAAAGTGATTTATATAAATCTCATAATGATGTTGCGTCATTTGCCTGAAACATTCCGCACGATATAATAGATTATCCAGTTTACAAGGTATCGTATTCATTTACATTTACCTGAATATTGCTAGCATAACTGAAACGAGATTCCCAACCAATGGATTTTCTCTGTCCATAGATATAACAGTTTGTATAATAGTCCGCAAGGCTGTGAGCATGATTTCTTTCACGTCCTGTATCGTGCTTCCTATATCTTTCCTAAATGTTAATTCCAAGATGTCAGACAAAATCTTGACACACAATTCAACCTATATAAACATAAGACAGAAAGGTGTCCCTTAACATTGTTGTCGATCGTACGTAAAAAAGAGAAAAAAACCTTGGGAAAACATAGTTAACTAAAATTAAAAACTAAAATTAAACATAACAATAATCAGCATTCCTGGAAGTCTAACATAAAATACTTATCCTAAGTAGATATCAGTACAGTTCTCATGTCATTAGCAATCATCGTGCCAATAATCCAAAATAAACGATGCACTCTTTAACTCGCCACGTATATCTCAGCAATTACCTCTTCAGAGTAGCCGCGGTGCTGGTTGAGTCGATGTCGATTCTCGCCGAGCAGCCTGGCTACCTTCGCCACGCTTTTTCCAGGCGTACTTGTCAGCCCCTTTTTTTTAGGCCAATAACCAAAACCAAACCAAACACAAAAAAATGAAACAGCCCTATGTTAGTCAGAATATAATGTCAGTTTTACGCGGAGAGAAAAAAATAAACATTACAATTATATCCTTAATATCTGTCCATCACCTAAAGAGAGATCGTGTATCGTAGAACTGCATGCAGGATGGATGCAGTGTCCCCCAAAGCAATATAGAACAGTTTTAAGCCGGAAGATGCACTACACTGAACGTAAGAAATAATACAATGGTTGTCTCTATTCAATCTTCTCCGACGACTCGGTCGAGATCTGATTTCGATAACATATTGTTTCTATGAAATTTGATCAGAACAAAATGGAAAGACAAGACACATATGAGATATGATATTTTGCAAGTGTTTTTTCTTTTCAGTAAGCGTCAATCCCACGTCATATCGCTGTATGAGTTCATGCTACGTCAGGATTAGAGATGTGTGCTTTGTCGTCCATGCTCTACTCAAACTTTCTAGATGAGAGGTCTTTGAGTGTAACAATCACCAAAAATCGCAGAAAGATGCGTGGCGGGAAGATGTCAGGCTGCACGGAAAGCACGAATAATGGCACTATTCGAAAGTCGAGTAGGAGAGTTTTAAAAATGCAGATGAACAGCTCCGCTCACATTTTAATTATGACAATCGACATACAGGTGACACGAAGAAATTGCAATCGCCTCAAACGCAAGACATGTATGTATATATATTATATATATATCTATTTTGAAGCGTTCTCACATCACACTGGTATTAATATGAACGAAGCTTGAATAATGACATATCGGGTTACTCGAAAAAGTACTTCATACTTAAAGAAAGATTAAATACGCATACAATATTAATAACATCTTTTAGTGATCTTATGTATACTTTAATGAGTAACACGAATATTTTGTTTCCTTCATATTAAAACGTAAAAAGTAACGTACATAATGTAGAATCTAACAACTATACATATATATCTTACCTCTTCTTTCGCTTCCAGTAAATCTCGAACCAAAATAGTAATTCTAGGCAACAGAATTGCTCTACAATCTGCGTTTAGAAAAAGGGGGCTGTGAACGATATCATTTACAGTCATCATTTTTTGTTTGGTCAATCTTCCTGCTGGCACAGTAACTAATAAGTCGGTCAAGATTGTGCTCAACTGTTTGCCACTATATACTCGCAATAAATGTGGTATAGTGGTTGGTAAATATTTAAGGCATGCTCCTTGAACTAATAAGGTGCTGTCTGTTTCATGTCTCATGAGTTCAACTATAGATTTTAATAACTCCGTTAAAGTTTGAGAAAATTCTTCTTCGTCTTGATTTAGCCTATTATAACATTAATGTTTAAATAAACAAATGGTAACTATTGAGAAACTTAATGGTACCAACAATAAAAAAAAAGAAACATACTCAGTATATAGAAGACGCGATTCAACAACAAATCTCATACAATATTGGAGACTTTTCATTGTTTTAAGAAGTATGTCACGCTCTTGTCCGTCATTATTAGTGGCGTTATCTATACGTTTCCGTAATACTACTATTAACTTTTTATAAGCGAGTGTTGCGGAAAAGCTCTCTGAAATATACAAGTCTAATACTGGTTGAAAGTGTTGATACTTTCTATCAGACACTAGACCGATAATGTACAACAGACACTCGAATACCATATCGTCGTAAGCATCACTATCAGAGTTACTCATTAATATATTAAACAAAGCATCCAAAACATCCTGAAAAAAGTGTAATGTCACTTAATTGTATTCTTAAAATTGTTATACATAATATATAAAGTTTGCATACTTGTAAAAACTTAACAACTTCTTCGCCGTCAACTTTCATTAAGGCAGCCAAAGATTCTTTTAAATCTGTATTATGCGACGCCCAGTTTAATAAGCCTAACAAATCCACATTTTGCGTTAGTTTTGTTGAGCAAATATTGGTTGCTATCAGAAAGCTATCCTTACTACTTAAAGTAAGTGCTCCCAATGTTGGCTTTTTCTCAACATTTAATTCGACCTTGAAGAAGAAATACTTAAGTTGTATGTAATTACGTAAATTAATACTTAAAAGAATTTTCTGAAATTCTAATCTATCTTACCAGTTCACTCCTTGTTGATGGCAATTTCAAATATGAAATATCGGTTTCTTCATATTTCTTTTGGTCTAATTTATACACCAATAGCTCATGCTGTATATCTTGCAACGTTGTCCCGTTACGTTGCATCAATTTTACGTAACTCAAGGCAAACGGTTTCTCAGTTTTATCTTTTGCCTCGTTCGAGCTGCGATGCTTAAATGTGAATTTCAAATGGGTCTGTTTAAATTCTTCGATGGGTATAGCAATTTTGAAAGTTTCACACCATCGTGGCTTATCCTCATGGTAATAAATAACACTACGATATTCGTCGATCGGTGAAACTCCACCACCCAGTGTCATAACACCTGGTATTGCGATACCCGACTCATTGCATACTTTGACCTATCAGAATTAGTAACTGTAGTTTACAAATTAGTAATCGGAGAAAGTAATTGCCGTCAAACAATACCAACCGTAACTTCGACATTCTTATCTGTAGACTTTGATCCTTTATTGAATTCACCGCTGATCAATGTAAGATACAGATCGTTCCTCACATCACCTGGCAAAATAACTTCTGGAAATCCCATTTTCCTTGCAATAGCAACATTGCCAAGTACCAAGTGAGGATTTTCATCTCGTACCTACGTTATATTAAATTTTTATCAGTACCTTTATAAAATATGTATTTGAATCATCGAGTTTTAAACTCAAACTCACTTGTTTTGGATCTCCTCTAAGTAACTTCAAACTAGCCCACAACCCCTGACCCCCGGTCAAGCTGCTACTGCTTCCATTACCACTTTTCTGAATGTTTGCTTCCTTTTGAGAAAGAATTCTCCGTAATGTACCATCTAAACTTTCCTTCTCACAGCATCTGAAAGAAACAAGCAAAACCAACAAAGCCGATCTATCTAGGCTGTATTCGTAAGGAAGTCTTTATGAATACATTCAGAGTTTGTATTAAAATAGAATCTCATGCTTACTGCACAAATGGTATGAAATGATGGTGATCCGAGTCACCTTCAAGCTTGCCTGTAATGTACAAAGTGATATCCATTGCTGCCACGCCAAAAGGTCTTCTCATACATTCTGTATTTTTGACTTTTTGATTGGCTTGTGCAACGCTGGAACGGCGATGATCAATATCTTTAGCTTCCATACCTCCTACCCTAATTACGTAACAAGCTAAGTAAACTTTATCTCTGGCTAAATCACGAGAGCCAAGGTCGGTGAATAAAACTCTAAGATTGTGAAGCTGATCTATGTCTCTGGCTAGTCCTTCCTTGCTCCACGAGACCACATAGTTTTCAGTGATTGCTTTCATTTCACGACCATCGTATAATGTCAATAGTAACTCTACATCCTCAGTCATTTTACATACAAAATTCCTTACACTAACAAAGAAGATATGTGAATAAACAGGTGCTTGAGGTTTTGAAGGTTTCTTTTTCATATCGTTAGCTGCCTTTCTTATTCTTTCCGCAGCAGTCTCGTGATGATAATATAACTGGATTGTACTTGTCTCTTCAGGGTTAAGGACATTCCCCTGATCATCCCGAACAACCATATCCATACCTAGCAATTGATTGCCAGTGTCAATCCTAGCTGTTGCTAATCTTTTCATATCTTTCAGTTCATCCACTGTCAATGTGCCACTCAAAATTTTGCTTCTGTATCCGATTAATTCCAGAATTTGTTGTTGCATGGTTTTGAAGTGCTCTGAATGAGTCTATTACAAGTATGAAAGGAAATGATTAAGTTAGTTGTCTTTCATTAGGCAGAGTATATATAATATACATACGACATATAAATGCTTCCAGTGATGACCCCATTCTCTCAAAACATTTGTAATCTCATGTATCAAACAATCCATACTCATTGACTGTTGCAAAATATGTACATAAGATTTTGGAAAGATTCCACATGTTCCTTTAAATTTGCTCCGTCCATAGTACCAGTCACCACACTCCTCCAATATATATACTACTTCCCCAACTGTTAATCGTAGTGCATAGGGGGTTCCATGTACAAAGTTATGAATGGCTATGTAATAATAAATAATTAGCTACACTTAAGTCTCACTTTCACTATGTGTTATCTATCAATCTCTTAATTGGCTTGAATGACAAAGATAATGTCAGTGGTATTAGACATTCAAGAGAAATGTGATAGAGAATAAAGTTTCCATTATCAACCATTGATAATAGGTAAAGTGGTATGAATTACTACCCACGGATCATAGTATATAAATAAAAAAGAAATTAAGTTTCGATGTGTTTGTGAACAAGAATGAAACATTTCCCGAGAAAATAAAAGAGTAACACAGGCAACATACATGTCATGTAATTATTATGCAAACGATAGTGTCACTGACGTTATAAATGACTTCAATGATATCCGCAAGTCAATTAAATATTTTCCGATGATGAGAATAAATTGAGTGCATTTATTTTGGCGCAAACAACGCAACAGAGTTACGAGAAAATAATTGCATATTGAATGTTTGTGCATTAAACAAGAGCTAAAATTTTATCTGGCTGGGGCACCTCCCAGGATGTTAGACCTTACAAAGGCCAAATTAATAATATTCTGCGAATTATTTCTTACCCACTCTTGAATGCTCTTTAACCTGCGTCCATGCCATTGTCATTCTCATTGAGAATCAACGATAACAATATATGTACACTAATTACATTTCGATTCGCACATTTGTCGTGCGAGTAAAATACGATACTTTTTATCTTGACATCTAACACAACTATAATGCAGCGAAACACGATGCTGCTGCCTCAATTTATCACAGCAATGAGAACACGGATGCAGCCGAATATACCATGAAACATATCCAAACTTATAGAGGTTCCAACGCGTATTCTTCTTCGTAAAAGACCGGGAAAAGTGAAATACATTATCGACATTATTGCGTTTCTCTTGTTTCGTATTTTTTTCGATTCTTCTTTCGCGTTTATGTAAAAGATATTTACTTAACGGATCGTTTATTGTAATAAATATATTATAATCATAATTACAGGTATATATTTATATTAAATCACAGACGAGATATAACAATAGACCTAACATTTTATGAGGTTGGTGTCCCACAAAAATCACACTAGTTCGAGCGCACTCAACAAATGTATAACCACCGATTAGGTATAGAATAGACCTATCATCCAATGCTTTTTCTGTCCCACACTGTTTATTGGGCTGATTACTAACTGGATATATTAATAATTAATTGGTAATTTTTTACATATGAATTTACTTACACGTTATTTACTCACAAAAATTTTATTTATTGCGAGTAATTAAATAATGAACGTATGTTAATATTCAACTACGTGTCTCTCAAATTAAGTGAAATACAGAAGTTTTATTTTCTTGAAAATTAGTGTCAAAGAATGCAGCAACTGGTCAGATTAGTTTCATAAATAAATCGAAACCCTGTATCGGCACATTGTTCTTTAGACTATCAAATATCACACGGAGTCTTTTAGGAAGTAGTAAAATCTTTTACACAAATTCAATGAAATACTTTCAGGTGCCCAGTTTAGGGCTATGAAATTAGAATGTTCAAGAAGAGGTAAAGAAGTTTCATGTTTGCAATTATTTTGTGATACTGTAATAGAAATCGGTATCCTGTGAGAAAAATCGTATTTAACGATATGAAATGAATAATAAATAACGGTCTTAGGAATTTGTACTGGAGAGTTAAATCTTTAAAAGAAACATGTCGTTTAAACAAATTAGTTAAAAATGATATTTATTTGGGGAATATGAACATCATAAATAAACGAGAATGGTAGAGCGAGCCGCGGTATCGGTGCTCTATCGTCGGTGCCGACGCGTGCCGAACGGTGCCGGAGATGGCCGGAGCGGTCGAATGGGAGCAAGCGAGAGCGGGAGAGAGAGCTGCGGTATCGGTGTTCTCCGTCGGTGTCGACGCGTACCGAACGATGCCGAAGATGGTCGGAGCGGGCGAACGGGAGAGAGCGAGAGCGGGAGAGAGAGCTGCGGTATCGGTGTTCTCCGTCGGTGTCGACGCGTACCGAACGATGCCGAAGATGGTCGGAGCGGGCGAACGGGAGAGAGCGAGAGCGGTGGAGCGAGCCGCGGTATCGGTGCTCTTCGTCGGTCCAACACGCTAGTGACGTACGTCTCAATTCGACAGGAACAAACCTGCCCATTTCCTCACTTTCTCGTGAGCCGTCGCGGAGGGTGGGCGCGCGTCTCGTACTCGTCTTTTCTCTTGTTACTAACCCATTGTTTGTTGCAGGCATTCGACAACCATCAATTTATTTACTGTGCATATTATTAATTTATTTACTGTGCATATTCTTGTGTCCCCTCTCTTGTTACTAATCCCTTGTATGTTACAGATGTTCGAGAA